AAGACTAGAATCATTTCAAAATTATTTCACAATGATATCTTAGTGCGACGAACGCTAAATAGAGTAAACTCAGGGTTTCACGGTAGGATCGGGTGACATTCCAATCATGCGCCACAGTTCCATTTTTTTTTGGGGAGGTAAAATGTTTTTATGCAGAAGTGCCCGCGTTAAAAAATTATCATGGCATCTATATTAACCACAGAGATCGTGGGAGGTCATTTTTCATTTATGAAGTTAATTCACGGCGCTAAAGCAAAAACGTCCACTGGAATTTTCAACTGTCTCAAAGTAATATTCGTGTTCCAGCATACATACCACTCGTCAACCATTCCGTTTAAGAAAGTTGTTAATAGGCGCTTGACAGGATATTTGAACTTAGCAATCATTGATAATTTACTGAGGAGGCGTGCGTCACGAATGTCTTCTCAGTATATGAAAATTGAGACCGAATGTGGTAAAGTGTGGGCGTGCATACATCTGTCCATAACCTAGTGGCCTATGTTCCAAAATTTTAACTTCAAAAGGAGCGGTAATTAAGAGGAATTCTATCTATATGTTTATGAGGCTTCGCCAAACAATAACAGTATAGTCCACAAAGCAGTATTCTTGTCATTATTTTTGCCAGAAGGAAGCTAAATTACGTTGACGTTTTCAAGCTGTGACTGAAAGAAAAGGTTCAAATGGCGTCTTTGTAGCAATCAAAAGGAGCGGTCATTAATAAAGAGGAACTCTATCCATGTGTTTGCGAGGCTTCACCAAAACAGTAACAGTATCCAACGAAGCAGAGTTCTTGTCATTTTTCGTGCCAGAAGGAAGCTAAAACCTTCATTCACGTTGACGCTTTCAAGCTTTGACTGAAAGAATGGGTTTAAATGGCGTCTTTGCATCAATTTGATTCTGGGATGTCGTTATTCATTCCTATCTTTGTCATTTTCTGTGAAGGTTGTACAGGTAGGGACTTACCTCGAAAGCAATGCTTGATTAGCATCTTTTGTTGATAAAGAAGTGGTATCTTCAGCCTATTTCCACTCATCTGTTTATCAAGCTCCCAAAAAGATTTAAAGTGTTTGCTATTAACAATTTTCTCCTTAAAAAAATTGTGAATTAAGGGGTTATTGCCTGCACATGACAGAGACTAGAACACCTGCCAGGAATTATCATTACAACCGAACAACCAGAAATAGATATTGGTAGGTGGAGAATTTTGATCCAAAGTTTGAAGCAAATTGACTGAAATTATGAGGCGATAATATGAAAAATAAACAGGCGAATAACAAAAATCGTAAAACCGATGATAACTATGACTAAAACTATACACCAATAAATTGTCCCCTGGGAAAAATGTAAATTTGAACATCTTAACTTCAACACTCGTCGCCAAGAAATTCCTTGGCTCGTTTCCCCATTCACTTACTCTGGGCTAAAAATTGAGAGTTTTAATATTTTAAACTAGCGAATAATAATTCAACAATAACAACAAGATTTTATTTTAAAACTGCACATAACAATTCCAGAATATGTTTATTGTTAATTGTTTGAGAACAAATAATAAAAACGGTTAACGGAGAAGATTTTACAAGGTGTCTATCATGATAGGAGATAACCGCCTTTGTATCAATGACTCGCGACGAAATTGTTCAATAAACTCATAGTTATCGTCACATCAAGAGGGGCTCAAGGGTAACCATACCATTTTATTTGCTGATCGAATCCAAAATTTTATTGTTTATCTTAGCTTATTCGTGTAAGTGAAGACGTTTCCACCTCCTACTGTCTCTGTTTCGTTTACCGAGACCAACCTACCCTTGACACTGATTACCTTCCATAAAAGGTACATGCAGTAGTTGATTATTTCTTATTGGGTCATTCCAAACTTATGATACCTTTACCTTAGCTTAAATGTCTGATTCCATAAATCCGCCATTTTGTTAAATGCATAATTTCAAGGCTTTTAATAATTGATTGTGTTTTCGAACTCCTCAAATCGTCTACATTCGCAAAATTATCTAAAACTTTCGTCTAAAATCACACAGGAAGGGCAATTTTGACCGATAAGCCGCGCCTCTATCAATATTGCACTGACTGGCCTCCCTTTTTTGATCGCTGATTTTTATCCAAAATATTTCATCACGAGTAGATTTTAGCACGATTTTCCACCCCATGTTACCAATTAACTTGTATGATCTATTGACTTCTCAGTAGTAATAACTTGTAAACGCTCTCCTTTTTACCGACAGGAATTCAAAGAGATTAAGTAAACTCTGAAAAGTTATCCTTTGTGTTTGAAACTTGCGTTTATTGGTCTCGACAGGCGATCCAGTCCCAAACGCTGTATTCGATACCCGTTTTGAGCCATTTACGACTAATTGAAGACGGGAGTGCTTCTAAAAATATTTCAGAAACTACGTCTAAAAATGAAAAATACTTCCTAGTGTTTTTCTTGTGGCACCATTAAAATGAGAAGGCAAATATCTGCGGCAAAACTCTACCAAATGGCCTAAATCGCCTTTACGAACATCGGAGCATCAAGTTGACACCAGCTAAATAAAAAAATATCATGTCAAAATCATTTTTAATCAAGTACTTTTGATTACGAAGTATATGAAGCAATTTTTGAAGCATTCTTTTCGCATTCGTGTAGAGTGACTTATCCGTTTGAAAAAAAAGATCGAAATTAAGGTCTTATTCTTTAACAGGAGACGAATACCGCGTTATCGTGTTCGAGGAACCGATACCAAATAAGGCTATTAGGGATCATGTGGTTAGTAGTGAGGAGGTACCTTATGAAGGGGATTGCCATATGCTGTGTTATTTGGGGCCTAATTGTGTCTCTATCAATGTAAGACCTTCAAAAAAGGAAAAGAAAAAAGTGAATTAAATAACGCCACAGCTGAGGAAAACCAACTCATCTTTCTTCAAGAAAAGGATTCTTACTACTTGGCGATTGAGGTAAATTCTTTACATCAATGGTTATTTTGACGGCATAGAAATTTTAGAGCATGCATGAAACCACCCACTCCTTCGATGGAGAGAAATTATGAAGTGTAGTAACTTTTGGTTAAAATGGTTTAAAAGTAAGAAAGAAGTGAAGCTGATTAGGTATTTGATAGAATCTTCTTTTTCCTCTTTAATGCATCGATCAATTCGAGGCTTTAACGTTTTCCCAGGTAACCTATCCGGGCATTTGATCCTTTCATGATTGGTTCGTTCAAGTTCCCGCCTCCTGAGTCAAAGTTGTGTTCAAATGTGCTACCCAAGTGCCGGATTTGATGGTGAAATTGTTTTTGCAAAAGGCAACATCAGCGACCGTGACTTTCAGTTTGACTTTGTAAACCTTTTTCCCGAGCCATCCACTCGTATAGGTGAATTATTTACCTTCAAACACCTTTACATACAAACAATAGCTTCTGTTTGGCGCTAAAATATGTATGGAGACTTGTCCGCGGACATTATCTGTTCCAAGATGAGATGTATTGTGTATTGTGTATAAAATCTTTCAAATACTTAGCAACGCGCGTTTACGAACACCTTATTGGTTACAGCGAGTGATGATTTCTTATGAGTGTTCTCTGGTACAAACTTTATGAACAAAAAATTTTCCTTCTTCTTATGGGGACATTCGACCACATGACGCGTATAGATCAATCACTGGCGAGCAAATATGTTTGATGGATCATAATCTCAGATGTCACCCAGTTTTAGCTAGGGGATTTTCGGAAAGGTGCTGCGTTTTAGACCAATCGCGCGCGAGTAAAAAGATTTGATGGCTCATAATTAAAGTTATTACACTTGCGCAAGGTTCAAATTTCCCAGCAAAGGGAGGGGGGGGGGGGGGAATGGTGAAGCTTCGGATTGATCGGCGTATAAGCATTTGCAGTTGGTATCTCACAGTAGCTTCGGGGATAAATTTTCTTGGCCAAGTAGCTATGTCTGCAGAGCAATGAGACAAAAAACGGTTTTTACAAGGTTTGCATAGAAGTCCTTGTAGCACAGGTATTTTTCTGTGAAAATTGTTGTGTCTCATTGTCATAAAAATTAAAAAGGACTCGTCAAGTTCGCCTTATCAACTCCTCGTGCACCTCACAGTATTTTTGCTTCCAATCATTGAGAGGTTTGACTCCTTTTCCAGTCACTTCAGTGCTTTCCTTTTTTTTCCACAGAATCCCTGTGCTAACAATCCTTGTTTGAATTAGGGAATTTGTCAAGTAGGTTTTACCACTAAAGGGTATTGATGTGTCTGTGTTCCCGGATCTGCTGGGGCAAATTGTGCTGGTATTGTAAAATTTTACTTTCAGTCAAGCTTTCCCTGATCCTGAATGTTTAAGAAAAATCTAACTATCAAAGCAAAAAAAAAAAAAAAGAAAAGAAATTTAAGTTATTAAAGTCCTCAATAGTTTTTACCACGAATAATAACGTTCAACCTCCTCAATTATTTAACATTTAAATAAAATATTGATAGTGTCAACGTGAACTTGCGACATTTGTAGCAGGGAGAAATTACAGATAAAAAATGTACCTTTTATAACAAAAGCACCTCCATTTTGAGGTTCAAGTCAGGTCTGCTGAGCTTTGTCAGCAACGCATCACTACCGCAGCTTACCCGCGCATGAACGGTTCCTGGATGAATTCTAGTGATCTCCTAAGAATTTCTTCTCCTGACAGCCTAAGTCTTCTTAAGGCGCGGGGCATTGCAATTCCTTCCGTGTGGTTTTAAATTATAGATTTTCATAAGGCCGGAAAATCGATGAATTTTATTTTAAATTGGCTCTTCAAATTATTGTAGGAAAATTGAGAACGTTTTGATGGAATGCATAGCGTTGTATATAGAACTTCGTAAGTCAAAAGGATAACACCACATTTACAGTGTTGAATAATGATCGAGCACTTTTTCTAATACACCATGCTTATATGGGACATCAACTGTTATGGCGAAGTAATATCGATTCTTGGAAGGAAATGTTCGATAACTTAATGCCAGCCACGTTCAGGCAAACAATCTAATGATAGGAGTCATATTTTCAATAACACTTCACATTTTTCTCTGCACAGTGTTATCGAAATCTTGCAGTGACTTGAAGAGGCTCGATCCCAAGGCGATAAGTGGAAACTTTTTGATTGATCCTAATGGTGAAGGAGGATTGACTCCTTACCATGTCATCTGTGACATGAGTGACAAAGACGGAGTGGGTATGACAGTAATAAGTCACGACAGCGAGAACAGGACATTGGTGGACGGATGTGAGCATCCGGGCTGTTACTCACGTGACATTCACTATAAAGGAGCGACCTTTCCTCAGTTGGCAAGCCTAACCAGAATTTCCTTATTTTGTGAGCAGTTCATAAAGTACGAGTGTCAAGGTTCACTTTTTCATGATTGGCTGAACCAAACTCGCAACTGGTGGGTGTCACGTGATTCTATGGATATGGCTTATTGGGGGGGGGGAGCAGCACCTGATAGTGACAAGTGCGCATGCGGGATGAAAGGCACGTGTGCAAAAAGGGGTGATCGTTGTAACTGTGATATGAATGACCGTAAATGGCGTGAGGACAGTGGTCTCCTTAATGAAAAGACACATCTACCAGTTAAACAGTTGCGGTTTGGTGATGTCGATGTTCTCGATGAAAGAGAAGAAAACTTAAGATAGCGGCTTCGAAGTAGGCCAATAAATAAATAAAACAGCCATGCACAGACCAAGTTTTTTAAAACGGAATTTGCATCTCACTAGCCTAGACAATTTTTTCGGAAACTGTTCTGTCTTTGTACCATATATAAGATCTGAAGGGATTTTTTTAGAGCTTGTTTCTTTGATTTTATTCACCTCATGTTTATATTCAGATCTTACAATTTAGATTTTCGCTATTTCAACAGAATCCCTGCAGTAGCAGTAGCAGCCCTTAACGGAACTTGTCAAGTTGGCTTTACCAGCAAAGGATTTCGATGTGTCTGTGTTCACGGATTTGTTGGAGAAAACTGCGGTGGTACTATGAAACTCTTTTTTGAATTGTACTTATTTCCTATTGTACATTAATGAAAAGACATAGTTTGCCCTTGCAGAAGTTATGAGAGACGTCAGACAGAAATACCATTAGCAAACGCAAAGTGCACCGTCGCGGGTACTGGAACGACATGTGCTTTTTTAATCTGCTTATCACGTTTCCTGTCTTTCTCTCAGAAATAGAGTTAAATGGGGATTGACAGAACTAGTCGTTGTTTTACTCAACCTACGATAGATTACAACGAAGAAAAAATTTAAACTTTTTAAGGATGTATACCATCAACAACATGGTGACTTTCTTGGAAAAAATCTTTGTCAAAGATCCTGTATTTACGGCTGCACTCATATTTATGACGAACTGTGGCATAATTGATTCTTCAAAGTAACAGTGCTAAAAAAATTGTTCTAAAATTTTTCTCAGCACTCCAATCACTTTACTTTTTATATCGATTGTGATGGAGAAGATAGTTTTTAATTATCAAAACAACATTGCTGTAATTCATCGTGAGGCTCCCTTCAGCAAGTCTTTTAAAGAAACTTTTGATGAAACATTTGCCCTTCTTTATCACCACAGTGCCACCAAAGTCCTGCAGCCATTTATAAAAGCTCCATCGTGAAGCAAAAAGTGGACTATATATGATTGATTCAGACAGTGAACGTGAATTGCTGCCTCATAAGGTCATGTGTAACATGACTGACAAAAACGGAGTTGGCGTGACTGTCATAAGTCACGACAGCGAAAACAGAACACTGGTGAAAGGATGTGAAGATGCAGGGTGTTACTCGCGCAACATTAACCATACAGGAGCGAGCCTCTTTCAGCTTAAAAGTCTGACTGCTTTTTCCCTTCACTGCGAGCAGTTCGTTATGTACGAGTGCTACCACTCCAGAATGAAGGGGTTCGTGATTCGAAGAAAATGACCTACTGACTAAGACTATTAAGACTATCAACCGCCATCTGGTTAATTAGCTCACGTGGATGAGCGCCGAACTACTGTGCAGGAGGTCGGGGTTCAAGACCCAGGCCAGACCCACACTCAGGGTTTTAAAATAACTGAGGAGAATGTGCTGCCTTTGCAATGATGTCTGCAAGCGGTTAGGCATTCTAGTCTTCTCGGATAAGAACGAAAAGCCGTAGGCCCCATCTCTTGCATCTTCTTCTAACTACTAGTTAGAAGGGAGAAGTTTAAGAAACCACACACTTATCGCAAAGAGTAGGGAACGTAGTTCCTGGTGTTGTAGTCTGCCCTAGAAGGAACCTGACCGAATCCGAGCATATAAGCCTTGTAGAGAGGGAATGCTCGTAATATGGTAAATATGGTAATAAATATGGTAAATCCATTGGTAAATCTATTTAAGGAACAGCATATTCCACAAGGTTTTATTTCACTTACATATCCTGATTTACAAACTTTCTATGTGTTATCCTAACATCCCACGCGGGTCTATTACGTTTTAAACCCAAGGAAATGTGTTTTATTGCTCCTAAGTCACAACTGTGAACGGGGTTGAGCAAAGGGGAAAAAAAAAATCATGTCTCAGCGTTTTTTTGGAGTTGGACACTGATCCTAAGAAGACCTGTCAAGAAGCGTGTGAAAACAATCAGTGTTTGAAAGAAATTGAACAACCGGCGCGAAGAACAAAGTAAAGGGAGGCTACTGAAAAACCAAAATCACTCCTTTATCTCCAGTAATTCACAGAGCAGAAGAGCGACTCTAGTCTCACCATCATGCTTTAGGGGAAAGCGTTTCTCCCATGATCCTTTTGTAAGTGGTCGCTCTCGCTTATGAGTTGGCCATGTTGCTTTATGCGATGAACTCTAGTTGGAAGTTTGACTGCTGTTGACGCATTACAATGTCACTCATGATAAGTCCTCATATATATTAGTTAGCCAGTCTCCCATTCGACAGTTCCACCCAGCTTGACAAATATTGACGGTGTACCGCTTTCATGGTTCCCGAGTGGAACTTGATTGACGCTTAATTAATCAATGGATATTTTAGTCTGCAGTGCTTGACTACCATAATTTTGCAGCACAAAATAAGGTAACAGCGTAACGAGGATGCATAGTATGCGATGCAGATTTTTCAATTCTGGAATATCTTCCTGCTGGAAGAATTTAGAATGAAGTAGGCATTCTCGAAGCTTAACTACTGATGACCAAATTGCGTAATGATTACCTCTCCAAATAAGAATGTATGCAAACTGAAAACAGATGGATTATGATAATATTTGCATCAAACTGGGGTAAAACTGCTGCTATCTGCCCCTTTATGGAGGGCATTGAAGTCCAATTTTCGAAAATAATTTAACTATTTTGAGTGCTTTCTAGCTCGATAATTTTTTCTGGTGATACAAGTAAATACTAAGTCGTGTGAGACCTTTTTCGGTGTTTTTCTCTTCAATATTCTGTCAATTATATATGCCTGTGGGCGGACAACAGACAGGTGGCACTGTTTTGGCTAAACATGGACATTTGTATTCATTTTCAGAAAAATCTATTTGTTATGATCATGAGTCTTAATAGTCTTAATAGCATTTGGGTCAAATTATTAAGCGCGCTCCTCTTTTAGTTCGTGTTTTTATTTCTACCTACCTTCCTTCCTGAAATCTCTATAGGGTAGTTTTTTTGTATTTTGACGCATAAAGTTAAATAAATTGCATCCACATAAGGCGCGAACACGAGTACCTTACCACCATAAGTTACAAAGTTTGAATAAGAGAATTTTGCAGACGATGCCTATTCATAGGGTAGTTTTTTTATATATTTTGACGCATGAAGTTAAATTAATTGCATCCACAAGAGACGAGAACACGGGTGCCTTACCACCATAAGTTACAAAGTTTGATTAAGAGAATTGTACAGACGATGTCCTGCTTTTTATCCCCTTCTGGGTATTTGCAGAAATAACCCTCACGCTCATTCACTCTCGTTGTCCACCGAACCAATAAAAAGATGATAGTCTCCTTATATATCGAATACACAAATTAGTACCTGCCTCTAACTCCCTCCTCTGCATAAATTATAACCGATGATTAAATTCTTGTAAATATAAACTCTTCAAAAGGCAGCGAGGAGTTCCAATAAAGTGAGAGGCTGTAGAATAAACTAACTGGAGCCTTCAGGCTCGGCTTAATCTAGATATTATTCATTCTAGAAATAATACATAAATCGAGAGTAATTAATAAAAAGGTAATTAATAAAAGTCCTGTAAGTTTAATGGACATAAAACTTGAACTCCTCAGTAGAAATCGCTCATAGAATAAGAGTGCTTTTAAGCTAATTTAAGGAATGCTTCTTCTTTTTTCTTTGACTCAAATTAGAATCGCCGAAATAAGTCATATTTTAATTTGAACTTTCATCCAGTTATATCTCAAGAGGTCCAATAAACATTCCATCCCAATAATATTGCACCTGGTGCACTATTTAGTCCATCCGGTCTAAAGTGATAAGTGCTCTGTATAAACTAGGTGGTAGCAGCAGTGTTTGAACTGTTTTACCGGCGCCCACAAGTGTTAGCACAAGAATGAACTCCTCGTGTTGTTACAAGAGGGGAGCGAGAACTCTCCCTGTTATCCTTGGTGTTTTGGTCGGAATCGAATTAGCATCGGTTTTTGCTTGCACTGGTAAGTACAATTCGTTCGATAGCTATGAATTAAAAACTACACTTCTACAAATCTATTTGTAGAGGATTTTAGAAGAGGTTAATAGCATTGGGTCAAATTATTGGGCTCGCTCGTCTTTTAGTTCGTGTTTTTATTTTTACCTGCCTCCCTTTCTGAAATCTTTTAGGGTAGTTATTTTTGTACTTTGACGCATGAAGTTAAATGAATTGCATCCACACAAGGCGAGAACATGGGTGCCTTACCATCATAAGTTACAAAGTTTGGATAAGAGAATTGTACAGACGATGTCCTGCTTTTTAACCCCCTCCTAGGCATTTGCACGAATAATCCTCACATTCATTAATAGCCATTGTCTACTGAAACTATAAAAAGATGATAGCCTCCTTACGTATTAAATGAACAAATTACTACCAGCCTTAAACATAAACTCTTCAAAGGCAGCGAGGAGTTCAAATAAAGTGAGGGGCTGTAGAATAAAGTAACTAGAGCTTTCGGGCTCGGCTTAATCTAGATATTATTCATTCTAGAAATAATGCATTAATCGAAAAGTAATCGATAAAAGTCCTATAAGTTTAATGGCCCGAGAACTTGAATTCCTCAGTAGAAATCGCTTATAGAATAAGAGTAGTTTTAAGCTAATTTAAAGAATGCTTCTTCTACTTTCTTTGACTCAAGTTAGAATCGCCGAAACAAGTCACATATTTAATTTGAACTTTCGTCCAGTTATCATCCAAGAGGTCTAGTAAACGTTGCATCCCAATAATGTTGCACCTGGTGCACTATTAAGTTCATCCGGTCTAAAGTGATAAGTGCTATGTATAAACTAGGTGGTAGCAACAGTTTTTTAACTGCTTTACCGGCGGCCACAAGTGTTAGCACAAGAATGAACTCCTCGTGTTATTTCAAGAGGGGAACGAGATCTTTCCCTGTTAACCTTAGTATTTTACTCGGAATCAGATTGGCATCAGTTTTTGCTTGCAATGGTGATTTAAATTCGTTTAATACGAATGAATTCCAAAACCGTGTAGTTTTAAATAATTACCTATAGAGGATGCGATGAGGTATTTGTCAGGGCGTGAGAGAAATAACTCCTCCTGTGTGTGATGACTTAAGCCTGGTTTTCACTGGCGACGCGAGCGCGAGCGTAAGTACAAACGTAAGCAGAAGGTTTACGTGCCAAATTGAAACGAACGTCTACAAGCACTAACATAAGATATAGGAAACATTTTGATCCTTACAGTTGTTTATGCTTGCGAAGAAGCTTGCGTAGAGGCTGTTTTCACGGTGAAATTTAAGCTGTTATGCATGCGTCGCTAGTTTGAACTGTTTTAACGGCGCTCAGTGAAAACTAGGCTGTAAGGGATTATGTGCCTCGCATGATACAAAAATTACACTTTTGGTCATGTAAACAATATTTTAACTGAGTTCACTTTATTTTGTTCGCTCATCAAGGACGAGTTTGCTTGTTTTGAACAAATTTTCCTAATTCAAAATTCGTCTCTCTTTCCCTCAATTACCGAGAAAACAATTATCAAGAGCATTTTACAAGAAAAAAATTAGGCGAAAGAAAATCCATCTATGATCGAAGTTTTAGAAGATGATTTAAAAGTACACGATAGCTAACTTCTAGGTCAATTCAAGTTTTTCTTATCAAACTTGAGACAGTGAAAAGGAACTAATATATCTCCCTGCTTGTAATTAACATAAAGTTAAATGTATTATTCAGAGGCTTTGAATAATCACGTCTTCTTTCTCTCGAACTCTTACTGATATTAATGTTTTAAACTTCGTTCATCGCAGGACGACTTCAAAAAGGTTGCGTAGATCAACTGATATTTTTTTTATCTTAAGAATGACTCAATGAAACAATTTGAATAGAGGCTCAAAAATGAAAAATTTCTCAATTCATGTTCACAACCTATAACATTTGGCTTTCGACGGTAACCGGTGCTTTCTCTTTCTTACGCAAGTTTCAGCTCTAAGTTATTGTGAAAACCTCGAACAAATTATGTTGCAAAGTAAAATTTTACTGTGGTCCACAACAGGTGACGAATGCCGCATTATCCTGTTTGAGGAACCGATATCAAATAAGGTGATTAGTGGTCACACGATCAAGAGTGAGGAGGTACCTGATGAAGGAAGCTGCCGTATGATGTGCTATATGGAGCCTAACTGTGTGTCTATCAATGTGAGACTCACGCAAGGCGGAAGATACAAATGTGAGTTGAATAACGCCACAGTTGATGAAAGTAAACTGACCTTCCTTCAGGAAACGGATGCTTACTACCTGGCTATTGAGGTAAATGCTTCACAATAGAGCCCCAGAAATTTATCAACTTTTGATGCCCCACTAAATAATTTTTGGATTCCATTTTTTAAGTGTCATAAATCTTTTCTTATCAGTTCAATGCTTTCTCTTTTAACAGAATCCCTGTAGTAGCAGTCCTTGTTTAAATAACGGAACTTGTCAAGTTGGTTTCACCAGCAAAGGATTTCGATGTGTCTGTGTTCACGGATTTGTTGGAGAAAACTGCAGTGGTACTTTGAAATTATTTTTCAAATTGTACTTATTTCCGATTTTATATTCATGAAAAGACATAGTTTGCTCTTTCGGAAGTTATGAGAAAAATCAGACAGAAATACCACTAGCATACGTTAAGTGCACCCTCGCGGGTATTGGAACGACATATAATTTTTTTAATCTGCCTTATACTCATCACGTTTCCTGTCTTTCTCTCGGAAACAGAGTTAAATGGGGATTCACAAAACTAATCGTTGTTTTACTCAACTTGCAGTAGGTTACAACTAAGAAAATGTATTAACTTTTTGAGGATGTATACCATCAACAACATGGTAACGTTCTAGGAAAAAATCTTTGTCAAAGATCCTGTATTTATATCTGATATGCTGCGCTTCAAAGTAACAGTGCTAAAAATTTTTGTAACCCACATTAAGTAATATTTTTCGTTTGAAAATAAAACTCTTCTGAAATTAACGTAACATTTCATTTACAAATTCATCTCTCAATCTCGACAGTAGTGTTCTGGCCAAAGTCTTGCAGCGACTTAAAGAGGGTCTATCCTAATACAAAAAGTGGACCGTGTACCATCTATCCTGGCGGCGAAGGAGGGCTGCAACCATATAACGTCACATGTGACATGATCGACGAGAACGAAATTGGCGTGACTGTCGTTAGTCACGACAGCGAGAACAGGACGCTGGTGGACGGATATGAAGGAAATGGATCTTATTCACGTGACATACACTACCAAGGAGCGAACATCTCTCAGCTGGTGAGTCTCATCAATGTTTCCAAGCACTGTGAGCAGTTCATCAAGTACGAGTGCTTCGGTTCTACTTTGAACGATGGCTTTTGGGTTTCACGTGACTCCGTGGAAATGAACTATTGGGGCGGAACAGCTCCTGATAGTGGTAAGTGCGCATGCGGAATGTACAACAACTGCGCAAATGAAGAAAAAGTTTGTAACTGTAATAAGAATGACGGAAAATGGCGGGAGGACAGTGGCCTCCTCACTGAAAAGACACATTTACCAGTTAAACAGCTGAGGTTTGGAGATACGGGTGGTAACGACGAGCATGGCTACCATACCTTGGGAAAGTTCAAATGTTATGGAATCGCCTGATTTGAAATAAGTAGTAAACAGTAACATGCTTGGTAACTCCGTATGGCATACCTGTATACTGTGATCCTAAACAAATGTCTGATATGTCTATCGACCTTTTATTACTTACTTTTGCAATTAGTTTGAAGGCTCAAAATGGTAAAAAAAATATATGATAAATATATATGGTAAACAAGTAACACATTCTACCCATTTTGTCAATGAGGTGCAAAATTCCATCTACAAATGAGCGAACAGCTTATTATGCATGGTGATTATGAAGTACTTTGTAAACTTATCGAGGACGCAAATTTTTATGTTTAATAAAATGTTTAACACTAAATTCCTGATCTACAAGTCAGCTTGTTAGCTTTGAACCATAGCCAATTTTTGTTACACCTTGCGTTTTAGTATTAAGTATGTCATAGCTGATCTTCCGGTATTAGCCTCGTAGCAAAGTCAATATGTACGATCGAAACACAGTTTTGCATGGTGTGAAGTTCTTTCGTAAAGAAAATTCTTCAGAACAATTCATACTTCCTGGTGTACATTGTAAATGACAGGGTAATATGGTATTATCAGGTAAGTTGATAACGTAAATTGGCCATCATAAAGAGTTTGAAAGCTGATGTTTGGAGCGTCAGCCTTTCGCTCTGACGTATACAAGGGTGTACCCTACTACACCCTCCCACCGAAGCAGCACCACAGTGTCTTCATAAACTTATCCCCTTTATTCATTGTGAATGACATTTCATGGAACTGAATTGTTTGTGATAACAACTGATAACATAACGCTGCAGCATATATAGCATTTTGTAGTACTGTAATGTTTCCTCTAAGCTTAACCAGTACGTATCGTGCAGCAGTGCTTCGTATACTCCTAGGAAAAAACGTAATTATAGCATGTATTTTAGATACCAAGAGATCATTAGGGGACCTTTTCATCTTTTATAGATACAAACTCAAGTAGTACTATGTGTTAACACTTATGCAGTGTATGAGTCGTGTCAAATGAACTCTTCGCCGAAACATAATTTCATGGAAATCATATTTCTTTGCAGGCTTTGGTGATACAACTGATTTATTTCAATAAAGCATAAACCATAAACAGCCTTTACGATGATAAGTAATGTGTACCCAAGTTCATCATCAAAAAATCTTTTTTCTTTGACTAATGCTCTGCTTCTCATCTTTCCAAAAGACCACAGGAAATGGCTATTTCAAGGATTTTCTCGTTTGAAGTACATGTTTGACAGGCGTTTCCCTGTCAATCGTGAGACCAAAACTACTAGTAAGACTAATGATAAAATAAGGGCATACCGTAAATCCTTAGAGTGGCGCCTTTAGTGCCGACCGTGTTTACCCGGTGATAATCCACCCTCGAAAAAACGCCATCTATGAACGTTGCAAATGTGCGCAAAATATTCGAATGTGGAAGGTTGCGGAACTTATTCTAGGACTATAGGCGAGAGAAGGATTTACCGTAATTAGTGCCACGCTTACTTAAAAAAATTTGGTTCTATCTTTTTTTTAAACGTATGACTGAGCTTTGGAGGAATAAATTAACCGATTGAAATGACAAGCTAAGTATTTCTTCTCTGACATTTTATAGGTAATCTTATTTCATAAGAATTTTTATATAAAATGAGACAAATCATGACTACATTGCTAGTGAGAGTTCCATATTCAATAAGGTGTGAACAACCAAACTTTAAACATTACTGGTGTATATTTGAGAGAGTTGTCGTGGCTCTATTTAAATTTTGTTTCCGGTTTGTGCAATCACCGAGTGAAGAATATTAAAGTTGATTTTAATCGTTGAAGTATCTACATTTAAATTTCTCTCGGGATCCAAAACAATAAATCTTATTAAAAAAAGAGGAAAATTAACTTTTGGGATATGCGTATGTTTCCTTCGCAGGTCTGAATGCTTACTGCGTAAGAGCAGTAAGAGGCAAACGCAAAGTGCGACGCTGACGGTGGCAGCATCAAGAATGATACGAAAGCAACATACTTAGCATACTGTTGCTAAGGCCTAGGAATAGTATCTTTATGAATGATTCAATAATTAATACTCCATTAGCACTTCAACAAACTGGACAGCGAAGCCGATAAAAGCGTCGATTGCTTTTGTGTCGAAAATATTGCGTTGAGTAACTCAAAGCGTCTACCGTCTCTACCATCGCCCTCTTTCTCATTAGAATAACAAGTGGAGACAGTGCTGATTCCAAATGTGAACCATGAATAATTTTTTCTAAAGCTTTCCCTTTGGACCACAACAAATTGTTAAATATCCTTTGCCAAATATCCTTTAAACCTTAACTCCGCCGATTCATGTCATGCTAGGGGACAGTTTTTGTGACTGCCTGAGCTACTTATAATTTGAGCGCTCATGTGAGGATGGCACCAAGTTCATTAAACGAGCTTATGAGTTTTCAATTTCTCAAAAGCCTCATTCGCTAATAACCTTAAAAAGTTTATATAGCTTTTCGAGCAATTTTTCTTTGGCGTTGATGTTGTTAAATATATGTCTTTCAGTTTGTATATAGGTGGTGCCTTTGGTTTTTCGAATAATTGGAGCAATTGCACTTTTATCAGTTTTAGATTTTGTAAAAAGATTCGAGTGGTACTCTAATTGCAGGAGATTTAAAGTCATTTCTATATGTTTAAGGAGGAGGACACGCAGTTTAGAAACTTTTTAAAGAGTTCTTGACTATACATTAAAATATTGACTTGAGAGGCAGCTTATTAGCTTTTATAGCTACAACATGGTGTCATTGTTTAAACTGACAGCAGTATTGATAATGTTATGGCTGACTTTTGTCAAAGCTGAGTAAAAAGTTTACCAAAAAAACTGTTAGAGTCGAATCGAGGGTGGGGTTGTGGGTGTGGGGCTATTGATATTGCCTTGATTAAAAACCAAACTCTCAGGACATGATAACTTACAACGAAGATTATTGCCATTATTTGAACCAGCTGACGCATGTCTTGGGGGCCACAGGGTTAACAAGCTTTGATACTCATATCTGAGGGTTCTGAAGGTTATTGTTCTAATGCTTCTTCAACTTATTTTTATATTTGCGTTTTGTCTTCTGGTGTAAAAATTCTACTTCTACGAGAAATACACTTTACCTCAGTTATTCTTCTGACTATGAATCTTATCTAAACATTATATGAAAAAAGAAGACTCTCTTTATCAACTCTCGTTTTGATACACCTAGTTGTTTTAATTTCAATTGAATTCCTGATCACTTCAGGTAATTTTAGATCTATCGATCTGATGACAGAGGAGCTCAAATGCTAATGAACTCCAATTGCAACAATCGAATTAAACCATTTGAAGCATTCCTAGGAGGAAATATTTTGGGGATGAAATTCAAAGTTTTGACAGAAAGTGGAAAAAAGACTGTCTTATTATCGAGAAATGCAAATAATTCATTGTCATACTTGTCATTTTCGCTTTGGCTTTGAACAAATATTTTACCTGCTGGACTACAGTCGGAGCCCGCGTCATCATATTTTGGGATTTTTAAAGTGTCATCGCGAGAGAACTGTCGATAAATAATATTTGCTATTTTAGATAAGCACTAAAGGAGTGATAACAATAATAAGTCAGAAGGAAACCAAATTAGCAAAGTGAATATAGGGAGCAAGTTTCTAAAGAAACTGTGGTGATGCATTGGTGGGGGGGAGGGGGGTATTATTAGATAATTTGCTTTTATCAGCTGAATGATTATGTAGGCTCTAAAGCTGACATTTCAAGCGTTAGCCATTCGTAAAAGCGAATGGATTGCTCAGGCTGACTCGCATTGGAAATGAGAAACTTGAAAATTGTTGGCAAAATTTGTTGAAGTACACGCTTCGTGAGGGCAATTGTGTCAAGACTATGCCATAACACAAGGTCAACAAGGCAAAGAAGAGGGTACATAGTTTCATCTTTTTTGCAAGCAATTTCCTTCAAAATTTAAAAGCGTGGATTTCCCCTAGATATGCATACACTGCCACCATGGTTCCTTCCTGAAAGTCATTCCTGTTATGCGTAGACTTGTCAGTGAAGAATTAAGTGCATTGCATAGTTATGGTAATGACTGTTTGATAAATAATGCTTTTTTCAATAGTTTGGAATGTTTTTTTTCTTTTCAATAGCTTGCTTGCAAGATATTTAATCAGTCATTTTGGTGGCATGTCATCGTCCAACATGGCATAACATAATGAATGGAGTTTAAAAGTTGTCATGACAATAGAAGGAATGCAATCATTATGCTATTGTCTTCGGTTTCAAAAACAATGTTCAGGATTGCCGGAAACTATTCTTAATTATACCTTATATAGATTGGAGAATATGAGTTATATATATAAATGCCTTTGGGAAAACCAAGATCTTTTTTAAAAGGACTTGTCCGTCGGACATGAATACTGTCATATGCATTTATTGACTTAACAGTTATTGCGTGCACAACATTGTAATTGTTTTTCAAAAGTTTCCAGCCTTGTGAAAAGATGAACTCTCTCTGTTTTCTGTGATTGGGATATTGAAGACTTTTCATTTCGATCTACTCTTTTTACCGGCAACTCTGGCTGAGATACTGATAAGTTTTTTGAAGACCGGTATAGCATCTTCAAATTAACATTCCGTCTCGAAAGCATCTATTTCACCTGCTGAAATTTAGAAGGGCTCTTTCGGTTTAATGTAAAGACAAATTAATTAGCATAAGCTGTGAGAGCTGCAGTGTACTGCCAAAGGTGAAATTTTGAGCCCTCCGGCCGTAAACCAGTATCTATAAGGATGAATTATTCGACATATTTCAAGATTACAGCCACAACTTTCTCTTTTACCCTTTCTATTTTGTCCGGAATCATATTGACATCGGTTTTCGCTTGTTCTGGTGAGTTTGAATCTAAATGTCGCGATAAATTGCTGTAGTCGGTGTTTTCCTAGTTTTCATTTATTTTTTTATTGTTAAATAATCTAAACCTTGTTCAACTAAAAAAACTGGAAAAATATCACCGCCAAGTTTTTTAACACTACAATTCTGGATGGTTGGCGACGGGTTTCTAATTGCGTGAACCTCTCGGTTGTTTTTAACCGAAGACATTGTCGGTCAAAATTTGCTTCCCGTTGTCTCTAAACCAGGATGCAAACTTCAGGACAAAATTGTCTTAACAGAGCATGCTTTAGTGAATTAGTCTATTATTGCTTTGAAGGTCAATTTAAAATATTTCGAATTAAGACTGCAGAAAGCGGAGAAGTGCCCCTCAGTGCCCCAACTGCTGACAACCACTAAAATTAATCCACAAAGTTCAACAGATGGGTGTAGAAAACGTGTGATTAAAAATTTTTTAATCCTGCAAAGACCAAGCAAATTCGTTAGAAAGGGTTTATGAAAACGCAAAAGTTCTAAGGTAGACGAGAAGATGAAGGTATCGCGTGGAATTATTTAAAAATTTGTCTCCATTCGGTTGGTAGAATCCTCTTCAGTGCTACGACTTTCTTTCAAGTGGAACCTTTAGATCAGGAAAAAAGAGCTTTCTAATTTTAGCACTGACGAGTTGTCAACAAAATTATCTATGTCTGCTTAGCCGGTGAAAGGTTAGTTAAGCTGATTGTGAATTAGTTTTCATACTACATTAAAAAAAAGCTTGTAACATTCGATTTGATGGTAGATTTAAAAATGAAAATCACAAGGAACCAATGGTATAAATGACAAATCTACTATCAATTTGAACGTGCACTTGTATGATTAACAGGCGACAAGTGCCGCTTCATCATGTTCGAGGAACCGAAACCACACAGGGCAATAAAGGGGCACATGATTAGAAGTGAAGAGGTAGTTAATGAGGGGTTCTGCCGGACGATGTGCTATATGGAGCCTAATTGTGTCTCCATCAATGTGAAACCTTTACAAGGAGGAAAATACAATTGCGAATTGAATAACGCCACAGCTGATGAAAGGCAACTGGTCTTCCTTGAGCCGGAAACTTTTAATGCATACTACTTGGCTGTTGAGGTCAGTAAACTTTTCATAGTTCCATATATAGCCTTTTCACGCCTCAATAGTATCTTTAATTCGAATCAATTTGATGCTTTCGTTTAAAAAGCAAGGGCGAAACAACTAATTAAACGTTGGAGGATAGCTTAGAAAGGAAGAGACCAAGCTAAAAGTGAGAATGCAGCACTGAACAATGTAGCATGAAAACAGCAAGAGGCAGGAAGGCTTACAGTCTATCAAGTGCACATCCGAATGTTTGCAAACTGACCGATGTCATAAACTGTTGTCCACGGTTGATTTATTTTCTTTGTCTTTCGTTTCAAGTTTTTCTCTGTTATGTCGGGCGTCGTTGACTTAATTTTTGACGGTGTTTTACGCAGTATATGTTCAGCTTTCGCGGTCCTTGTGGTAAATGTTGTGTCATGTCTTTAAAATTATCCTTCAGTTACTATCTCTTTCGTTTTCAGCAGAATCCATGCAGTAGCAGCCCTTGTTTAAATGACGGAACTTGTCAAGTTGGTTTCACTAGTAAAGGCTTTCGCTGCCTCTGTGTTCCTGGGTATGCCGGAGCAAATTGCAGTGGTACTGTAAAATCCTCTTAGAGATACACTTGTCATGAATTAACTAGCACACTTTACTTACCCAAAAAATACTGCCAGTAATCTGCAGGAACCATAAGGTTCAACCGGTTACTTCTCCCAAACTTCTAAACCCAATATAGTTTTTAATTTATTTTAGGCGTAAGATTATGGCAAAACGGAAGGGATTTTATTCAGGAGATTGTTGGCTTTAAAGGTTTTCTTTACACTCTAATCACGTTACTTTTTATATCAATTTTGATGGAAAAGATAATTATCAAAACAACATTGCTGTAATTCATCGTAAGGCTCCCTTTGGCAAGTCTTTCAGAACTTTTAATTAAACATTTATCTTTCTTTATCACCACAGTGCCACCAAAGTCCTGCAGCCATTTAAAAAAGCTCCATCGTGAAGCAAAAAGTGGACTATACATGATTGATCCAGACAGTGAAGGTGAATTGCTGCCTTATAAGGTCATGTGTAACATGACTGGCAAAAACGGAGTTGGTGTGACTGTCATAAGTCACGACAGCGAAAACAGAACACTGGTGAAAGGATGCGAAAATGCAGGCTGTTACTCGCGCAACATTATCTATACAGGAGCGAGCCTCTTTCAGCTTAAAAGTCTGACTGCTGTTTCCCTTCACTGCGAGCAGTTCGTTAAGTACGAGTGCTACCACTCCAGAATGAAGGGGTTCGCCTGGTGGTTGTCACGTGATTCGAAGAAAATGACCTACTGGGGAGGTGCAAAACCGCGTGGTAATAGATTAAGGTGCGCATGCAGGATGAAAAAGACATGTACAAGAGCAGGGTATCGTTGCAACTGTGATGCGAATGATCGACAATGGCGTGAAGACAGTGGTATCCTCTCTGACAAGACCGATCTGCCAGTCAAGCAGCTAAGGTTTGGCGATGCACGTCAAAATTACGAGCGTGGCTACCATACCTTAGGAAAGCTGAAGTGCTATGGAACTGCTTAACTGCGTTGATACGCTTTTAAACCAATTATATCCTTTCAGGCTCAAAAACCGTTGAAAGCCAGAGAGAAAATTTTACGTTCAATTTAGCTGACATTAAGTTTGATTGTGGGTTCCCAACAGCCTGGCGTTGATGTTATTAAGAAGACGCTGTGATCCTTAAGAAGTGTTTCTTCATTTCTACGTTTATCTAGTTTAGGGGTATTTTGTATTTAGTGAGTTAGAAAAAAATGCGAACAAGATAGTAATAACAACATTTGTACAACCTAGGAAGTAGGGATGCGTTCAGTGTGATGATTAGCAGTGTTCTTGCAAGGCTATTATTAGTCAAATATAGCACATGCAAATGTGCATCTTTTTTTTGGAAGTAGAAGTATTGTCATGTAAGTTCTGCTGAGGTTTCGATAGTGTTCGATAGGAGTTAATTGCAAGAGTTGTACAAATCGATTGTTCGTAATAGGGGTGCTCTTAGGTAACGTGTAATAAGTATTTATTGGTATTGTGCTTCACATGGACTCTGCCTCTCTCTAAGGTTCTTCATAATTAATTGTCAAAAATACCATGATTTAGATTCTTCTCCCAAATATTAGTTCACACCTTTTTTAAAGATTCTTTAGTAAATCGTCTGATTTTTTAGTATTAATAGAAATGTTTACACGATGTGACTTTTTTCACCCCTATTTAAACAGGAAATTTTTTGTTCTTTACAAGAATCTCATGTTTGTTAATAATCTTATGAGTCTACCCGTCCTCTTAAATGTAAACAGACATTACTCGCTACGAAGAACACATAAAAAGTTAATGATATGTATAATTTTGTACTCAGCGGGTTTATTCCTGAAGATTTTACAAGGTGTAGATCATGACGTGAGAAAATGAGTAGATAAATAAATTAATGAAAAAAGAAGGCTCAACAGTTTCCACTTATAGTCATATGGTACATGAACTGATTATCGAGGTGGAGTGAAGCCATAGAGGGCTAGAAATGCAGGTTCAAAATTGAATAAATCAAGATAATCATTCTCACAAATGAACTCAAATGCTTCATTAAAATTAATTGACACTGAATAACATTGATGTGCAAAATTTCAGTAACCCTCGTGATAGTAATACTTTTGTTTTAAATTTACAAGTGACACAGCGAAATCATTCAACCTGTTCTAAAATTGTGCAACACTACTGACGACTTTAACACTGTTAGTTTTGAAACGCTTAGGTAGTACACATTTTATCATCGTTTTTGTTCTGGTTCATTTTTATCAATAAGTCTTTCGTTAATTAATGATTATTACATAATAAGTTTGTTATCTCTAATCAATTCCCATTTAAAGACACGTGTAAAAATTCTATTTCAATCATTGTTGCAACAAAATCATCGCTGCTAGATAATCGATACAAGTTATTTGCTATCGTTAGGAGCTAGATCAAAGTAAGTCTTTATTTCTTTTACATTTACGATGTTTGCCTTTTGTCTGTATAATTGGTGTAGTTTTCGTATTCAGTTTTCTAGGCAATCGCTTAATTTTTAGTTAGGTTAATGTTGCATTTCGCATTTTTCATAGTTTAGTTTCTATTGTATTTTCTTTTAGTTCGAACTACACACAACCTCAACCGCTACTTCCATCCAGAAAAATTGACAATTTTTCGCAGTTTGATCTCATATATGGCTCATTAGTTATCTCGCAAGAACTAGTACGAACTTTGCTAATTTGGCGGCCCCATCCCCTTCTGTACGGCACTGTCTTTATGTCAGTAAAAGATATAACGTAGCTTTTGATATGAAAAATGTTGTGTACCACTAACTGGTACATACAATTTTTCCTTGTGTACTGGCTCATTGCTTACATTACAATTTTCTCGGGCGCATGAAATAACACCAAAACTGTAACATCTATTACCGTTTCAGCCGTCTGGGTAGTTTAGGTCGACAACCTTTCAGATCTTTCATTCGATGGATTCGGATACTTTCTGGTCTCTCTGGATACGATCTGACGCACTGCCATGACCAGGCGGTATCGTTCTAGGTCAAAGAGCGTTCGATAATCACAAAAATCTAATTAGCAAGTCTTGTAAATCGCGCGTCACTCACTTGTAGAATAGCAAATCACACATCACGTTGTGATGTCCGGTCCCGCGTCACGCGGATAATTTGGGTTCAATCACGCGTCACCCTGCAAATTTTGGGGCCATCATTTTTAGAGTAAACTCAGTTATGATTATGATAACTTATGATACCTTTACCTTAGCTTAAATGTCTGATTCCATAAATCCGCCATTTTGTTAAATGCATAATTTCAAGGCTTTTAATAATTGATTGTGTTTTCGAACTCCTCAAATCGTCTACATTCGCAAAACTATCTAAAACTTTCGTCTAAAATCACATAGGAAGGGCAACTTTGACCGATAAGCCGCGCCTCTATCAATATTGCACTGACTGGCCTCCCTTTTTTGATCGCTGATTTTTATCCAAAATATTTCATCACGAGTAGATTTTAGGACGATTTTCCACCCCATGTTACCAATTAACTTGTATGATCTATTGACTTCTCAGTAGTAATAACTTGTAAACGCTCTCCTTTTTACCGGCAGGAATTCAAAGTGATTAAGTAAACTCTGAAAAGTTATCCTTTGTGTTTGAAACTTGCGTTTATTGGTGTCTCGACAGGCGGTCCAGTCCCAAACGCTGTATTCGATACCCGTTTTGAGCCATTTACGACCGTGAATTGAAGACGGGAGTGCTTCCAAAAATATTTCAGAAACTGCGTCTAAAAATGAAAAATGACTTCCTGGTGTTTTTCTTGTGGCACCATTAAAATGAGAAGGCAAATATCTGCGGCAAAACTCTACCAAATGGCCTAAATCGACTTTACGAACATCGGAGCATCAAGTTGACACCAGCTAAATAAAAAAAAATCTCATGTCCAAAACATTTTTAATCAAGTACTTTTGATTACGAAGTATATGAAGCAATTTTTGAAGCATTCTTTTCGCATTCTTGTAGAGTGACTTGTCCGTTTGAAAAAAAAAGATCGAAATTAAGGTCTTATTCTTTAACAGGATACGAATACCGCGTTATCGTGTTCGAGGAACCGATACCAAATAAGGCTATTAGGGATCATGTGGTCAGTAGTGAGGAGGTACCTTATGAAGGGGATTGCCGTATGCTGTGTTATTTGGAGCCTAACTGTGTCTCCATCAATGTAAGACCTTCAAATGGAGGAAAATACAAATGTGAATTAAATAACGCCACAGCTGAGGAAAACCAACTCATCTTTCTTCAAGAAAAGGATTCTTACTACTTGGCGATTGAGGTAAATTCTTTACATCAATGAGTTATTTTGAAGACATAGGAATTATGAAACCACCTACTCCTTCCATGGAGAGAAATTATGAAATGTAGTGACTTTTGGTTAAAACCGTTTAAAAGTAAGAAAGAAGTGAAGCTGATTAGGTATTTGATAGAATCTTCTTTTTCCTCTTTAATGCATCGATCAATTCGAGCCTTTAACGTTTTCCCAGGTAACCTACCCGGGCGTTTGATCTTTTCATGATTGGTTCGTTCAAGTTCCCGCCTCCCGAGTCAAAGTTGTGTTCAAATGTGCTACCCAAGTGCTGGATTTGATGGTGAAATTGTTTTTGCAAAAGGCAACATCAGCGACGGTGACTTTCAGTTTGACTTTGTAAACCTTTTCCCGAGCCATCCACTCGTATAGGTGAATTATTTACCTTCAAACACCTTTACATACAAACATTAGCTTCTGTTTGGCGCTAAAATATGTATGGAGACTTGTCCGCGGACATTATCTGTTCCAAGATGAGATGTATTTTATCTATTGTGTATAAAATCTTTCAAATACTTAGCAACGCGCGTTTACGAACACCTTATTGGTTACAGCGAGTTATGATTTCTTATGAGTGTTCTCTGGTACAAACTTTATGAACAAAAAATTTTCCTTCTTCTTATGGGGACATTCGGCCACATGACGCGTATAGACCAATCACTGGCGAGCAAATATGTTTAATGGATCATAATCTCAGATGTCACCCAGTTTTAGCTAGGGGATTTTCGGAAAGGTGCTGCGTTTTAGACCAATCGCGCGCGAGTAAAAAGATTTGATGGTTCAAAATTAAAAGTTATTACACTTGCGCAAGGTTCAAATTTCCCAGCAAAGGGAGGGGGGAGGAGGGGAATGATGAAGCTTCGGATTGATCGGCGTATAAGCATTTGCAGTTGGTATCTCACAGTAGCTTCGGGGATAAATTTTCTTGGCCAAGTAGCTACGTCTGCAGAGCAATGAGACAAAAAACGGTTTTTACAAGGTTTGCATAGAAGTCCTTGTAGCACAGGTATTTTTCTGTGAAAATTGTTGTGTCTCATTGTCATAAAAATTAAGAAGGACTCGTCAAGTTCGCCTTATCAACTCCTCGTGCACCTCACAGTATTTTTGCTTCCAATCATTGAGAGGTTTGACTCCTTTTCCAGTCACTTCAGTGCTTTCCTTTTTTTCCACAGAATCCCTGTGCTAACAATCCTTGTTTGAATGAGGGAATTTGTCAAGTAGGTTTTACCATTAAAGGGTATCAATGTGTCTGTGTTCCCGGATCTGCTGGGGCAAATTGTGCTGGTATTGTAAAATTTTACTTTCAGTCAAGCTTTCCCTGATTTTACTTTCAGTCAAGCTTTCCCTGATCCTGAATGTTTAAGAAAAATCTAACTATCAAAGCAAAAAAAAAAAAAAAAAGAAAAGAAATTTAAGTTATTAAAGTCCTCAATAGTTTTTACCACGAATAATAACGTTCAATCTCCTCAATTATTTAACATTTAAATAAAATATTGATAGTGTCAACGTGAACTTGCGACATTTGTAGCAGGGAGAAATTATAGATAAAAACTGTACCTTTTATAACAAAAGCACCTTCATTTTGAGGTTCAAGTCAGGTCTGCTGAGCTTTGTCAGCAACGCATCACTACCGCAGCTTACCCGCGCATGAACGGTTCCTGGATGAATTCTAGTGATCTCCTAAGAATTTCTTCTCCTGACAGCCTAAGTCTTCTTAAGGCGCGGGGCATTGCAATTCCTTCCGTGTGGTTTTAAATTATAGATTTTCATAAGGCCGGAAAATCGATGAATTTTATTTTAAATTGGCTCTTCAAATTATTGTAGGAAAATTGAGAACGTTTTGATGGAATGTATAGCGTTGTATATAGAACTTCGTAAGTCAAAAGGATAACACCACATTTACAGTGCTGAATAATGATCGAGCACTTTTTCTAATACACTATGCTTATATGGGACGTCAACTGTTATGGCGAAGTAATATCGATTCTTGGAAGGAAATGTTCGGTAACTTAATCCCAGCCACGTTCAGGCAAACAATCTAATGATAAGAGTCTCATTTTCAATAACACTTCACATTTTTCTCTGCACAGTGTTATCGAAATCTTGCAGTGACTTGAAGAGGCTCGATCCCAAGGCGATAAGTGGAAACTTTTTGATTGATCCTGATGGTGAAGGAGGATTGACTCCTTACCATGTCATCTGTGACATGAGTGACAGTAATAAGTCACGACAGCGAGAACAGGACATTGGTGGACGGATGTGAGCATCCGGGCTGTTACTCACGTGACATTCATTATAAAGGAGCGACCTTTCCTCAGTTGGCAAGCCTAACCAGAATTTCCTTATTTTGTGAGCAGTTCATAAAGTACGAGTGTCAAGGTTCACTTTTTCATGATTGGCAGAACCAAACTCGCAACTGGTGGGTGTCACGTGATTCTATGGATATGGCTTATTGGGGGGGAGCAGCACCTGATAGTGACAAGTGCGCATGCGGGATGAAAGGCACGTGTGCAAAAAGGGGTGATCGTTGTAACTGTGACATGAATGACCGTAAATGGCGTGAGGACAGTGGTCTCCTCAATGAAAAGACACATCTACCAGTTAAACAGTTGCGGTTTGGTGATGTCGATGTTCACAATGGGTTTGACGAGGTGGGCTACCATACTTTGGGAAAGTTTAAGTGTTACGGAATCGTCTGATTAAAAAAAAAAGAGAACAAAAATCAAATCACCTATTTAAACAACAATGCTTTTCTACTGGTATAAAACTAAACCGTAACTGAACTTTCGAATCACCAAATAAGCATCAATCTACATTTCCGAGTCACTGTTGTAACAACATGCTGTGATAGTACGAAGGTCAACCATGGTAAGGGTTTATTATGTTCTGATCAACCATGCTATAAACGATTACAAGGTGTTTTTTATCTTTGAGAAATCAGAGTATATTCATCACTCGATAAAATTATGTATTCTCTCATTAAGTAAGAAAATATTTGACAAGGCTGTTCACCATAGCCTGAGGCCTCAGCAGGTACTTGCGAGACATGTTGCCACTGGTGATAATTAGTAAAGATATGAAACTAATTTCCTTTTCTCACCATTTTCTAAGGGTGATTCGCTGCAGCTTAGAGGAAATTCATGTGATAAACAAGAAACACACATCATTAAAGATGTTTCTCAAATAAGCGCCCGCGCTCAAAAAAGCGCCCTCCTTCGAAAAAGCGCCTACCCCTATGACCACATTAACAAACAAGTGCCATTCTTAAATAAACGCCCCTCCCCTCCTTCCTCACTTTCTCAGGTAGTAGGCTTACTACAAACACCTTTTTCCATTGCCTCTCCATTTTAAACTTTCCAAGCTTCAGCTATAGCGGAAGCAGTACTGCGATAGAAGATTGTTCTTTTTTCGTTAAAGCCACTTCCGTTTCTTCTTTCTCCGTGTGGTTACAGAATTCCTTTATGTGCGTTATCCGTTCTTGATTTTTATTACTTTTTACTGCGCTAGGTTAATAGGCGCCCCCCTCAATTGGGCGCTCTCCTTTCAATTAGCGTCCCCCTTTTTAGTCGAAATTTCTACTTTCTTGTTTTGACTCGAAAACCAGAAAAAGAAAAAGTTTTATAGGCAAAATCTCTTTTGTGGTTGTTCCGCACGTGCTCGTCTATCGCATTCTATCTAGGTTGAAACGAAATTTCCGAAACATATTAGCATTTGGAAAAAAAAACGAAGAAATATTGCATCAAGGATGCATAAATTGAAACTTCCGTAATTTGAATGACTCAGTAGGCGGGTTTAATTCATAAACGTTAATCCAAAAAAGTAAAATTCGCAAATGGATGTTATTGGAATTAGTTTATTCCTAAGTCTTTTGAGGAATATCGCATCTAATATCCTTGAATTATTCACAAAACACAAATTGAATGTTGACTTTATGGAGGCCTCCGGTTGTCACTCTGGTGGTTTAGAAAGCATTCCATATCAATAAATAATCACTGCACCTGCTGCATTTTAAGTTCATCCGGTCTGAAGCGATAACTACTAACTATGAACTAGGTGGTAGCTGCAGTTCTTTAAACTGTTTTACCAGCGCCCTCAAGTGTTAGCACAAGAATGAACTCTACGGATTATTTCAAGAGGGGAGCCAGAACTTTCCCTGTTATCCTTGGTATTTTGCTCGGAATCACTTTTGCATCGGTTTTTGCTTGCAATGGTAAGTATAATTCGTTTGATAGTTATGAATTAAAAACTACAGTTCTACAAATCTATTTGTAGCGTGATAGAAACAAGAACTCTTGTTCATAAAGTTTTAGGAATTATCCACTTGGATATTTTCAAACGAGAGTTCAAGAAATCAATTAATATCACAAAGAACTGACAAATGTGATGAAAAATGCAAATCGAGTCTTAGAATTTCACTGGATACTCTTTTTAGTCTTTATTATAATCAAACCGTATTTTATCATCTCAGTACATGTTCACAACCTGAATGGTGGCTTTTAATAATACCTCGAGTACATCTTATCCTGCACAAGGAGCAACTCTAAGTTATTGGGGAAATTTGGTTGAAATTATGAATTTTTATTGGGTTCCACAACAGAAGACGAATGCTGCATCATCATCTTCGAGGAACCGTTACCAAATAAGGCAATTAATGGTCACGTTATCAGGAGCGAAGAGGTAACTAATGAGGGGAGCTGCCGGATGATGTGTTATATGGAGCCTAACTGTGTTACCGTGAGTTTAAGACCCGTACACGGAGGAAAATACAAATGTGAGTTGAATAACGCCACAGTTGATGAAAGTAAACTGACCTTCCTTGAGGATTTGGGCGCTTACTACCTGGCTATCGAGGTAATGTTTAAGGTTTGAATAATAGAAGAGGGTATATTAAGTTGCTCCTTATAGAAAGAGCTGAATTAGAATACGTTTCTGGTTTTGAAAATTAGAGAAGACAAAAACTAAAATAAAAACAAGGCAACTTGAGGTCAACAGATCATTTAGTTGATCTTCGTTTTTCCTCAAGGCTATTGCAGGAGGATGAAAGAGAAGAAAACTTAAGATAGCGGCTTCGAAGTAGGTCAATAAATAAATAAAACAGCCATGCACAGACCAAGTTTTTCAAAACGGAATTTGCATCTCACTAGCATAGACAGGTTTTGCGGAAACTGTTCTGTCTTTGTACCATATGTAAGATCTGAAGGGATTTTTTTAGAGCTTGTTTCTTTGATTTTATTCACCTCATGTTTATATTCTGATCTTACGATTTAGATTGTCGCTATTTCAACAGAATCCCTGTAGTAGCAGTCCTTGTTTAAATAACGGAACTTGTCAAGTTGGTTTTACCAGCAAAGGATTTCGATGTGTCTGTGTTCACGGATTTGTTGGAGAAAACTGCGGTGATACTATGAAATTCTTTTTTGAATTGTACTTATTTCCTTTTATGAATTAATGAAAAGACTTAGTTTGCTCTTGTGAAAGTTATGATAAACATCAGACAGAAATACCATTAGCAAACGTAAAGTGCACCGTCGCGGGTACTGGAATGACATATACTTTTTCAATCTGCCTTATACTCATCACGTTACCTGTCTTTCTCTCAAAAATAGAGTTAAATGGGGATTCACAAAACTAATCGTTGTTTTACTCAACTTGCAGTAGGTTACAACTAAGAAAAAATTTGAACTTTTTAAGGATGTACACCATCAACAACATGGTAACTTTCTAGGAAAAAATCTTTGTCAAAGATCCTGTATTTATATCAGATACGGCTGCGCTCATATTTATGACGAACTGTGGCATAATTGATTCTTCAAAGTAACAGTGCGAAAAAAATTGCTTTTTCTCAATACTTCAATCACTTTCTTTTTATATCGATTGTGATGGAAAAGATAGTTTTTAATTATCAAAACAACATTACTGTAATCCATCGTGAGGCTCCCTTCAGCAAGTTATTTAAAGAAACTTTTGATTAAATAGTTGTCTTTCTTTATCACCACAGTGCCACCAAAGTCTTGCAGCCATTTAAAAAAGCTCCGTCGTGAAGCAAAAAGTGGACTATACACGATTGATCCAGACAGTGAAGATGAATTGCTGCCTTACAAGGTCATGTGTGACATGACTGACAAAAACGGAGTTGGCGTGACTGTCATAAGTCACGACAGCGAAGACAGAACATTGGTGAAAGGATGCGAAGATGCAGGCTGTTACTCGCGCAACATTAACTATACAGGAGCGAGCCTCTTTCAGCTTAAAAGTCTGACTACTGTTTCCCTTCACTGCGAGCAGTTCGTTAAGTACGAGTGCTACCACTCCAGAATGAAGGGGTTCGCCTGGTGGTTGTCACGTGATTTGAAGAAAATGACCTACTGGGGAGGTGCAAAACCGCGTTGTGACGTCGGTCATGATGGATTAACTGGCGCATGCGGAATGAAGAAGACATGTGCTGAAGCATGCTATTGTTGTAACTGTGATGCGAATGATCCACAGTTGCGTGAAGACAGTGGTTTCCTCTCTAACAAGGCCGATCTGCCAGTCAAGCAGCTAAGGTTTGGAGATACGGGTCATAACAGCGAGCATGGCTACCATACCTTAGGAAAGCTGAAGTGCTATGGAACTGCTTAACTGTAATGATACGCTCGTAAACCAGTTTTATCCTTTCAGGCTCATATACTGTGGAAAGTTAGAGAGAATATTATGTTCAGTTTAGCTGACGTTAAGGTTGACTGTGGGCTCCCAAAAACCTGGCGTTGATGTTATTAAGAAGACGCTGTGATTTTTAAGCCAGATGTTTCTTCATTTCTACGTTCATGTAATCAAGGGGTATTTCTGTATCGTTGAAAATACCACGCGTACGACTAAGCCGGCTAAAACTGTATTTATCGTGGATTTTGACAAGAAGTTTTTGTAATAACTATGGTGTTGAATTTACGAAAAACACCATTATCAACTTGACTAAGACTATTAAGACTATCAACCGCTGTATCGTTAGCTCATGTGGATGAGCGCCGAACTACTGTGCAGGAGGTCGAGGTTCAAGACCCAGGCCAGACCCACACTCAGGGTCTAAAAATAACTGAGGAGAATGTGCTGCCTTTGCCATGATATCTGCAAGCGGTTAGGCATTCTAGTCTTCTCGGATAAGGACGAAAAGCCGTTGGCCCCGTCTCCAGCATCTTCTTCTAACTACTAGTTAGAAGGGGGAAGTTTAAGAACCAACATATTTATCGCAAGGAGTAGGGAACTTAGTTCCCGGTGATGTGGTCTGCCCTAGAAGGAACCTGACCAAATCCGAGCCTTGTAGAGAGGGAATGCTCATAATATGGTAAATATGGTAATAAATATGGTAAATCCATTGGTAAATCTATTTAAGGCACAGCATATTCCACAAGGTTTTATTTCACTTACATATCCTGATTTAAAAACTTTCTATGTGTTATCCTAACATCCCACGCAGGTCTATCACGTTTTAAACCCAAGTCACAACTGTGAATAGAGTTTAGCAGAGGGAACAAAATCATCTCTCAGCGTTTTTTTGGAGTTGGACACTGATCCTAAGAAGACCTGTCAAGAAGCGTGTGAAAACAATCAGTGTTTGAAAGAAATTGAACAACCGGCGCGAAGAACAAAGTAAAGGGAGGTTACTGAAAAACCGAAATCACTCCCCTATCTCCATTAGTTCACCCTACGTGGTTGCCAAACCACATGGTACATGACAGAGCAGAAGAGCGACTCTAGTCTCACCCATCATGCTTTAGGGCAAAGCGTTTCTCCCATGATCCTTTTGTAAATGGTCGCTCTTGCTTCTGAGTTGGCCATGTTGCTTCATGCAGTGAACTCTAGTTGGAAGTTTGACTGCTGTTGACGTATTACACCGTCACTCATGATAAGTCTTCATATATATTAGCTTGCCAGTCTTCCATTCGACAGTTCCACCCAGCTTGACAAATATTGACGGTGTACCGCTTTCATGGTTTCTGAGTGAAACTTAATTGACGCTTAATCAATGGACATTTTAGTCTGCAATGATTGACTATCATAATTTTGCAGCACAGAATAAGGTAACAGCGTAACAAGGATGCATAGTGTACGATGCAGATTTTTAATTCTGGAATATCTCCCTGCTGGAAGAATTTATAATGAAGTAGGTATTCTCGAAGCTTAACTACTGATGACCAAATTTGGGTAATGATTACCTATCCAAATTAGAATGTATGCAAACTAAAAGCAGACGGATTATGATTATATTTGCATCAAGCTGGAGTAAAACTGCTTCTACTGCCCCTTTTTATGGAGGGCATTGAAGTCAAATTTTCGAAAAAAATTTTACTTTTTGATTGCTTTCTAGCTAGATCCTTTTAAGTGTTTTTCTCTTCAACATTCTGTTAATTATCTATGCCTGTGGGTGGGCAGCAGACAGGTGGCACTGTTTTGGCTAAACATGGAAAATTGTATTCATTTTCAGAGAAATCTATTTGTTATGTCATGAGTCTTAATATTGTGAATAGCATTTAGGTCAAATTATTGGGCGCGCTCCTCTTTTAGTTCGTGTTTTTATTTCTACCTGCCTTCCTTCCTGAAATCTCTATAGAGTAGATTTTTTTGTACTTTAACGCATAAAGTTAAATGAATTGCATCCACACAAGACGAGAACACGGATGCCTTACCACCATAAGTATTTGCACAAATAACCCTCACTGTCATTCATTCTCATTGTCCACTGAACCTATAAAAAGATGATAGCCTCTTTATATATTAAATACACAAATTACCTCCGGCCTTTAACTTCCACCTCTGCATACATTGTAACCGATCCCTAAATTCTCGTAAATATAAACTCTTTATAAGGCAGCCAGTAGTTCCAATTAAGTGAGGGGCTGTAGAATAAACTAACTGGAGCTTTCAGGCTCGGCTTAATCTAGATATTATTCAACCTAGAAGTGATGCATAAATTGAAAGGTAATTAATAAAAAAGGTAATTAATAAAAGTCCTGTAAGTTTAATGGACCGAAAACTTGAATTGCTCAGTAGAAATCGCTTATAGAATAAGACTGCTTTAAGCTAATTCAAGGAATGCTTCTTTCACTTTCTTTGACTCAAGTTATAATCGCCGAAGTTAGTCACATGTTTAATTTGAACTTTCATCCAGTTATCACCTAAGAGGTCTAATAAACATTCCATCCCAATAATATTGCACCTGGTGCACTATTAAGTCCATCCGGGCTATAGCGATAAGTGCTATGTATAAACTAGGTGGTAGCAGCAGTTTTTTAACTGTTTTACCGGAGCCCACAAGTGTTTGCATGCACAAGAATGAACTCCTCGTGTTATTTCAAGAGGGGAGCGAGAACTTTCCCTGTTACCCTTATTATTTTACTCGGAATCAGATTAGCATCAGTTTTTGCCTGTATTGGTGAGTTGAATTCGTTTAATCCGTGTAGTTTGACATAATTACCTATAGAGGATGCGATAAGGTGTTTGTCAGGGCGTGAGAGAAATAACACTTCCTGTGTGTAATGACTTAAGCCTGGTTTTCACTGGCGACGCGAGCGCGAGCGTAAGTACAAACGTAGGAACAAACGTAAGCACAAACGTAAGCACAAACGTAAGCATAAGGTTTACATGCCAAATGAAAACGAACATCGACAAGCACTAGCATAAGATATGAGAAAAATGTTGATCCTTACACTTTTGTTTACGCTTGCGAAGAGGCTTGCGTAGAGGCTGTTTTCACGATGAAATATGAGCTGTTATGCTTGCGTCGCTAGTTTGAACTGTTTTACCGGCGCTCAGTGAAAACTAGGCTTTAAGGGATTATGTACCTCACATGATACAAAAATTACACTTTTGGTCAGGTAAACAATATTTAACTGAGTTCACTTTATTTTGTTTGCTAATCAAGGACGAGTTTGATTGTTTTGAACAAATTTTCCTAATTTAAAATTCGTTTCTCTTTTCCTTGATTATCGAGAAAACAATTATCGAGAGCATTTTACAAGAAAAAAATTAGGCGAAAGAAAACCCATTTATGAATTTTTGAAGGTGATTTAAAAGTACGCGATAGCTGACTTCTTGGCTAATTCAATTTTTTCTTATCAAACTTGAGACGATGAAAAGGAACTAATATATCTCCCTGCTTGTAATTAACATAAAGTTAAATGTATTATTCAGACGCTTTGAGTAATCACGTTTTCTTTCTCCTAAACTCTTATTGATATTAATGTTTTAAACTTCGTTCATTGCAGAGCGACGTCAAAAAGGTTGCGTAGATCAACTGATATTTTTTTATATTAAGAATGACTCAAAAATACGGTGAAACAATTTGAATAGAGGCTCAAAGATGATTAAATATCTTAATTTATATTCACAACCTAGCATTTGGCCTTCAATGATTACTCGCGCTTTGTCTTTCCTACGCAAGCTGCAGCTCTAAGTTATCGTGAAAACCCCGAGCACACTATGTTGCATAGTAAAATTTTACTGTGGTCCACAACAGGTGACGAATGCCGCATTATCCTGTTCGAGGAACCGATATCAAATAAGGTGATTAGGGGTCACGTGATCAGGAGTGAGGAGGTACCTGATGAAGGGAGCTGCCGTGTGATGTGCTATATGGAGCCTAACTGTGTGTCCATCAATGTAAGACTCGCGCAGGGCGGAAAATACAAATGTGAGTTGAATAACGCCACAGTTGATGAAAGTAAACTGACCTTCCTTCAGGAAACGGATGCTTACTACCTGGCTATTGAGGTAAATGCTTCACAAAAACTTTACTCATAATAGCAAAAGGATTGAATGCTGCAGAAAATTGTACTCAGAGTAACCCGCCCCTTGCTTAAGATGGCACTTTCTCTCTTTCTTTCTTTTTTCTTCCTTTTTGCTTTGTTTTAAAAGTGGGACTCGAATTAAAGCTGATAGACAGTTTGTTTAATCTGTCTAGTTCCTCTAAGTCTTGCTCGATAGGATCTACGTAATAACTCAAGGGTAGCTGTAAAAAAACTTCAATAGAGCCCCAGAAATTTATCAACTTTTGACGCCTTACTAAATAATTTTTGGATTCAATTTATCGAGTGTCAAAAATCTTTTCTTATCACTTCAATGCCTTCTCTTTTCAACAGAATCCCTGTAGTAGCAGTCCTTGTTTAAATAACGGAACTTGTCAAGTTGGTTTTACCAGCAAAGGATTTCGATGTGTCTGCGTTCACGGATTTGTTGGAGAAAACTGCAGTGGTACTTTGAAATCCTTTTTCGAATTGTACTTATTTCCTTTTATGAATTAATGAAAAGACTTAGTTTGCTCTTGTGAAAGTTATGATAAACATCAGACAGAAATACCATTAGCAAACGTAAAGTGCACCGTCGCGGGTACTGGAATGACATATACTTTTTCAATCTGCCTTATACTCATCACGTTACCTGTCTTTCTCTCAAAAATAGAGTTAAATGGGGATTCAATAAACTAATCGTTGTTTTACTCAACTTGCAGTAGGTTACAACTAAGAAAAAATTTGAACTTTTTAAGGATGTACACCATCAACAACATGGTAACTTTCTAGGAAAAAATCTTTGTCAAAGATCCTGTATTTATATCAGATACGGCTGCGCTCATATTTATGACGAACTGTGGCATAATTGATTCTTCAAAGTAACAGTGCGAAAAAAATTGCTTTTTCTCAATACTTCAATCACTTTTCTTTTTATATCGATTGTGATGGAAAAGATAGTTTTTAATTATCAAAACAACATTACTGTAATCCATCGTGAGGCTCCCTTCAGCAAGTCATTTAAAGAAACTTTAAATTTCCGATTTTATATTCATGAAAAGACATAGTTAGCTCTTGCGGGAGTTATGAGAAACATCAGACAGAAATACCACTAGCAAACGTTAAGTGCACCCTCGCGGTTACTGGAACGACATATAATTTTTTAATCTGCCTTATACTCATCACGTCTCCTGTCTTTCTCTCAGAAACAAAGTTAAAAGGGGGTTGACAAAACTAGTCGTTGTTTTACTCAACTTGCATTAGGTTACAACTAAGAAAATGTATTAATTTTTTGAGGATGTATATCATCAACAACATGGTAACTTTCGGGAAAAAAACTTTTTCAAAGATCCTGTATTTATATCTGATATGCTGCGTTCATATTTATAACGAATTGTGGCATAACTGATTCTTCATTCTAAAAACGTTTTTAACCCACATTAAGCAATATTTTTCGTTTGAAAATAAAACTCTGTTGAAATTAACGTAATATTTCACTTACAAATTCATTTCTTTATCTTGACAGTAGTATTCCGACCAAAGTCTTGCAGCGACTTAAAGAGGGTCTATCCTAATACAAAAAGTGGACCATGTACCATCTATCCTGATGGCGAAGGAGGGTCGCAACCATATAACGTCACATGTAACATGACCGACAAGAACGAAATTGGCGTGACAGTCGTTAGTCACGACAGCAAGAACAGGACGCTGGTGAACGGATATGAAAAAAGGGGATCTTATTCACGTGACATACACTACCAAGGGGCGACCGTTTCTCAGTTGGTGGGTCTCATCAACGTTTCTAAGCACTGTGAGCAGTTCATCAAGTACGAGTGCTTAGCTTCTAACTTGAACGATGGCTTTTGGGTTTCACGTGATTCCGTGGAAATGACTTATTGGGGCGGAGCAACTCCTGATCCAGATAGTCCTATGAAGTGCGCGTGCGGAATGAATAACACCTGCGCAATTAAAGATGAAGTTTGTAACTGTGTTGCGAATGAAAACAACTGGCTGGAAGACAGCGGTCTCCTCACTGAAAAGACACATCTACCGATTAAACAGCTGAGGTTTGGCGATACAGGTGGAGACACCGAGCAAGGCTACCATACCTTGGGAAAGTTAAAATGTTACTGAATCGTCTGATTTGAAAAGAAAAAAAAATAGAGAATACTACATGGGCGCGTGTAGATATGGAATTTCTCTTCCAGTGTTTAACTCGATAGCGAGTGAGATGTCGAGTTGAACACTAGAAGAGAAATTCCATTTCTACAAGCAACCATGTATTGTTTTGTTTATCTTAAAAACGCAATAGTCCTTTACTGACAAGAAAAGTCGACTTTATTAATGAATGAATATAAAAATATCGACACTCCGAATAAAAATCATAGCGTGCGTTAGTGCACTCAAGATAAAAACATGCATTCAATCACTACGAAAACAAACAATGGGCGTAATTTGATATGCATAATTCTCAGTGATTGAATTGGTCTTTACCGACCGAAGAAATCTTTCAGGTACATGGCGAATATCAGCCTGTGGCAAATCTTTTAGAAGTTGATTTTCGTTCTCAGCCGCGGGAAATGCCATTACCAAAGCCACTGAATACGTAACTCTCGGTGTTTCCTTTCGTCTTTCAGTTTTCTTCCCCTTTCAGGAAAGTCTGAATGTCACTGTCGGTAAGCGATACGGATTTTTCAGTGTTTTAGCAACCATAATCCGAAACGACCTTGGATTGAGAATGGTGAAGGCTTTGCCGTTCATTCATCAACCTGACCGAGTGGCGCGAAAAGCAAGAACGTGTCTGCTTTTTTCACGTGTGTTGTTCAAGGATTATAAGCAAAAAAAGAATAATAAATATATCAAGTAAGGTACAGCTCGGTAGTCCAAACCATCCTTTGAAGTTTATATAAAATGGCAAGATATTGGAACAAGAAATGTCTCGGTTTTAGTTAATATTTGCGAAGGATTTGCCGTAATTATTACCACGCTTTCTTAAAAAATACGAGTCTATTTTTTTTTTTGGTGTATGATTGAGCTTTGGCGGAATAAATTTACCAATTGAAATGACAAGCTAAGTATTACATCTCTGACATTTTATAAGTAATCTTATTTCATGAGAATTTATGTAAATGAGACTGAATTATGATTACATTCCAGTGAGAATTCTATAGTCCCTAAGGTGAAACTTCTCTAACTTTAAACGTACTGGTGTATATTTGAGAGAGTATTTGTGGCTCTATTAAGACTTTAATTTCGGTTTGCGCAATCACCGAGTGAAGACAAAGTTTAATTTTAATTGTTGAAGTATCTACATTTAAATTTCTCTCGGGATCTACAATAATCAATCTTATCAAAAAAAAGAGGATAAGAAGCTTTTGGGTTGCGCGCATCTTTCCTTCACAGGTCTGAATGCTCAGAAGCAGTGCGTAAGAGCAGTAAGAAGCAAACGCAAAGTGCAACGCTGAATGTGGCAGCATCACGGATGATGTGACAGCAACATGGTGCATGGGTATTGTTGCTAGGGAACAGTATCTTTACGAATGATTCGATAATTAATACTAGACCCCTGCACACACATTTGAAACCCTTGAAAATTTTGGAGCCGTTCTCTCCATAAGAACCTCAACAAACTAGATAGAAAAGCCGATAAAAATGTCGATTGCCTTTGTGTCGAAAATATTGCGTCGATCGGCTCAAAGCGTCAACCGCCTCTACCATCGCCTTCTTTCTCATTAGTATAACAAAAGGAGGCAGTGTTGATTTCAAATGTGAACCATGAATAATTTATTCTACAGCATTCCCTTTGGACCACAGAAAAAAAGGTGATCTAAGGTTATTGTTTAAAGCGGAATAGTAGTAGATGAAGAGTTTTAAAATTCGTGTGTGGACCTACTGCTCAGCCAATAAGTTTATATGTCGTAATTGTGTTCTAGTTGCCGCTGCAGGTATTTTTTGCTCAGTCACTAATCATGCACATCCTAATAACATGAAACTCTTTTGAAATATCCTTTGTCACCAAACTTCGCCGAAACATGTCATGCTAGGAGACAGTTTTGGTATCTGCCTGAACTGCCTATAGGTAGGCTAGGTAAGACTTCGATGGTTATTTTCATAGGTAGTCTCTTAAGTGTTCTAATTAGAATTCTGCCTTTAACACCATACATATTGCACCTGCTTTGATTTAAGTACTTCCCGTCCAAAGGAAATTTTAATAGATATCTTTTGCATACTGTCGCCGACAATTTCCACCAAGAATGAGTCTTTGGGCCCACTTTAAGAGTGGAGAGATAACTTTTTCTTTCATCCTGTCTGTTTTGATAGGAATCAGACTGGCATCAATTTTTGCATGCATTGGTAAGTGTAAATGTAGGAATAAATTAGAGTGCTTTAGTTTTTTTCTTGTTTTTGCGTCTTCTAAGGATGTGTTAAGTTGAACGTGTAATGAGGTATAGGTCCTTATAATATAAGATTACTAGGGCTGGGTTATATCGCCTGAATTTTTTTGTGTTCGTCATTTATTTGCCATTCCTTCGCAAGATTACAGGTGAGACGGGCTGCCGTGAGCCGCAAAATTAAGAAAAATAGTTGTCACCATGTTTTTGTCACATCGAAACGATTATAAGAGCAAATTTCAACTATACCCTAACGTCCAATTAAATCCTGAGAAACGTTTGTCAGGACCATTTAACATGGAAATGCTAATAACCGATTGCTACTTCTAAGGTCGTTTCACAATTTTTACCTCTTACTTGACAATCTCGTCTGATGTTGCCATCATGGAGAAGGCTTCCGATTTACATGCATGTAAAATAGGTTTAAATAGATATTTTATAATCCTTACCCCTTATTTACGTTCAACCTTACAATTTATCTTGTCTAAGAAAGTACAGAAGGAAACACATCTCAAAAGGATCAAATATTGGTTGATATACTGATTATCCGTAGCAATTATAAATTTATTTTTGAGATAAGATGGAGCTTGTACGAAGACCCAACAAATGAGGCGAATTGATCAAAAGAGCTGTTTTCAAAGCTTGGAGGGATCATGCGCTAGGCAAGCAGGTGAAACTTTCGCAGCAACTTCAAGTGACTCCTTAGAAATCATCTGCGCGAGAGGAAGCGCCTAATCGCCTGCAATGCTCGGTGTCTTACATTTCTTTTTCATTTTTTCAAAGTTCTGGCCGCAGTCGTTAGTGATGCATTATATGAACATATCATCTTCATCCAAGATAGGAAAGCCAAATACGACGAGAATGTCGCAAAGCTTTGGAAAATTACTGGTGCTTTGTTGAAGCATAGGCAATGTATTTAGCGTGTCATTCAGTCGGCCACTTGGGCTGCACAATGAAAGGAAAAGAAACGCGAAATGGAAGGTTTGGATTAAATTATAAAGCACGGTGTTTTCTTGGAAACATTCAAAAACGTCCTACTCGTTAACGATAAGCAGGAAGGTATTTGCCCACAAACTTTCTCAAGATGTAAAGTACGGGAAACAATGCACTAAATACAAAAAAAAGCTTTAATTAAAATGAATCATCATTTCCCTTGTTTGCCACAGGTGACGAATGCCGCATCATCTTGTTCGAAGAGCCGATCGCAAATGAAGCAATCAAGGGGCACGTGATCTGGAGTAAGGAGGTACCTAACGAGGGGAGTTGCCGTATGATGTGTTATATGGAGCCTAACTGTGTGTCCATTAACGTGCGACCATCACAAGGCGGAAAATACAAATGTGAGTTGAATAACGCCACAGCTGATGGAATCTTGACGAAGTCTTCTTTCTTTTTTTTCCGGCTTCTTAACTTTTCTCTAATCGCTTTAACTGTGGCTTATTTGCTAGGATCATTTCTTTACCTGTGTAACAAGATTAACTTTTTCCTCATGTCAGTCTAAGCATTATTATTGTAACAATAGTTTCCAGCAAAAAATTTAGGAAATGTATTGAAACGCACATGAGTTATTTACAAAAACGTATTTTTGAACTGAATAATTTAGTCCACCAAAATGTGAATAGTCAATTACGACATGTCAATATAAATGACTCCCGAAGGATTTCTTGCGGCAAAGAGGTGAAAGTGAAAAAGAAGCCTGGCTGTCAGCAGAAGAAGTTAACAAATTCTATCGTGGTTTAGGCAATCTTCGCTGCTCGCATTCGATCGGCAAGTTTTTCCGCGTCGCTCTTAAGTTTAAAAAAAGGTAGTTAAAATCAAAACTGCCATTCAACAGAATTGAATAAATGGTCTGTCTCGATATGTTACCACGAGTTACTGGTAATTGTTTGAGTTACCCGCAAAATAAGTTTTTGCTGAGAGTCTCCTGAGACTCTGCAGGACGCTTCTGTGATTCAAGTAGTTTCTCAGAGTGTTGACATAACTCAACGTGTGGTCACTCAAAGACGTGAATTGTTGGGAAAACTTTAGAAGCAAAAAGAACGAACGTAATTCGTTTTTACGCTAATGTGCCTTCTTTGAACGATTTAACAGAGTTATAAACTTTACGCATTTCCTTGAAGTTTGGTCCGAAGACTCCTAAGATACCAACCTAAAAGACCATGAGGGAAAATTACGTTTTTCAAAATGGATCTCCCGCAATGGCCTCCGTCGTAATGCGTTTCGTTTAAACTTTGATCGGAAACTTGACAGATAAATTGCAAAGTAACCGAGTAGAACATCGAAAAATCCCCACATGGTGTTGAAGACCGACCCCACAGGATTGAAACTATACAGAAATTGTTATTAATCCGATTAGATTTGATATGCGATTGATTGGCTCAAAGAAACATCGTCTATTTGGATTGGATCAAGCTAAAACGAAATACTTTTTGTTGAATAGTGCATTTCATAACCTTCCCATTGATATATAGTTTATGGTAGTTAGCGAAGGTGTACTGTATTCTTAACTGTGGTTAAAGAATCTAACCGTAAACCTCTCTTCTTTGACTAGCCAAGTCTTGCAGCGACGTGAAGATGCTCGACTCAACAGTAGAAACCGGCCCGTATGTCATTGATTCTGACGGTGAAGGAAAATTGAAGCCATTTAACGTCACGTGTAACATGACCGACAAGGACGGTGTTGGCGTGACAGTCATAAGTCACGATAGCGAAAACAGGACATTGGTGGACGGATATGAGGATCCGGGCTGTTACTCACGTGACATTCATTATACAGGAGCGACCTTTTCTCAGCTGGCAAGCCTAACCACAGTTTCCTTATTTTGGGAACAGTTCATAAAGTACGAGTGTAAAGGTTCACTTTTTCATGATGGGCAGAACCAAACTCGCAACTGGTGGGTGTCACGTGATTCTATGGCTATGGCTTATTGGGGGGGAGCAGCGCCTGATAGTGACAAGTGCGCATGCGGGATGAAAGGCAAATGTGCAAAAAGGGGTGATCGTTGTAACTGTGACATGAATGACCGTAAATGGCGTGAGGACAGTGGTCTCCTCAATGAAAAGACACATCTACCAGTTAAACAGTTGCGGTTTGGTGATGTCGATGTTCTCAATGGGTTTGACGAGGTGGGCTACCATACTTTGGGAAAGTTTAAGTGTTACGGAATCGTCTGATTAATTAACAAAAGAGAACAAAAATCAAATCACCTATTTTAACAACAATGCTTTTCTACTGGTATAAAACTAAAACCGTAACTGAACTTTCGAATCAGCAAATCAGCATCAATCTACATTTCTGAGTCACTGTTGTAACAACATGCTGTGATGGTACGAAGGTCAACCATGGTAAGGGTTTATTATGTTCTGATCAACCATGCTATGAACGATTACAAGGAGTTTTTTGTCTTTGAGAAATCAGAGTATATTCATCAATCGATAAAATTATGTATTCTCTCATTAAGTAAGAAAATATTTGACAAGGCTGTTCAACATAGCCTAAGACCTCAGCAGACATGTTGCCACTGGTGATACTTAATTAGTAAAGATATGAAACCAATTTCCTTTTCTCACCATTTTCTAAGGGTGATTCGCTGCAGCTTAGAGGAAATTCATGTGATAAACAAGAAACACACATCATTAAAGATGTTTCTCAAATAAGCGCCCGCGCTCAAAAAAGCGCACTCCTTCGAAAAAGCGCCTACCCCTATGACTACAATGACAAACAAGTGCAATTCTTAAATAAACGCCCCTCCCCTCCTTCCTTACTTTCTCAGGCAGTAGGCTTACCACAAACACCTGTTTCCATTGCCTCTCCATTTTAAACTTTTCAAGCTTCAACTATAGCGGAAGCAGTACTGCGATAGAAGATTGTTCTTTTTTCGTTAACGCCACTTCCGTGTCTTCTTTCTCCGTGTGGTTACAGAATTCCTTTATGTGCGTTATCCGTTGATTTTTATTACTTTTTACTGCGCTAGGTTAATAGGCGCCCCCCTCAATTGGGCGCTCTCCTTCCAATAAGCGTCCCCCTTTTAGTCGAAATTTCTACTTTCTTGTACTGACTCGAAAACCAAAAAAAGAAAACTTTTTATGGGCAAAATCTCTTTTGCGGTTGTCCCGCACGTGCTCGTCTATCGCGTTCTATCTGGGTTGAAACGAAATTTCCGAAACACAATGGCTTTTGGGAAAAAAAAAACGAAGAAATATTGCATCAAGGATGCATAAATTGAAACTTCCGTAAAACAAATGAATTTGACTCAGTAGGCGGGTTTAATTCATAAACGTCAATCCAAAAAAGTAAAATTCGCAAATGAATGTTATTGAAATTAGTTTATTCCTAAGTCTTTCGAGGAATATCGCATCTAATATCCTTGAATTATTCACAAAACACAAATTGAATGTTGGCTTTATCGAGGACTCCGGTTGTCACTCTGGTGGTTTAAAAAGCATTCCATATCAATAAATAATCCCTGCACCTGCTGCACTCTAAGTTCATCCGGTCTGGAGCGATAACTACTAAGTTTGAACTAGGTGGTAGCTGCAGTGCTTTGAACTGTTTTACCAGCGCCCTCAAGTGTTAGCACAAGAATGAACTCTACGGATTATTTCAAGAGGGGAGCCAGAACTTTCCCTGTTGTCCTTGGTATTTTGCTCGGAATCAGATTAGCATCGATTTTTGCTCGCAATGGTAAGTATAGTTCGTTTGATAGTTATGAATTAAAAACTACAGTTCTACAAATCTATTTGTAGCGTGATAGAAACAAGACCTCTAGTGCGTAAAGTTTTAGGAAATATCCACTTGGATATTTTCAAACTTCCATTTTTTAGAGAGTGTCAGAAAGAACACGGTGTATGAAAAACACCAAGGGAAGGAAACGAGAGTTCAAGAAATCAATTAATATCACAAAGAATTGACAAATGTGATGAAAAATGCAAATCGAGTCTTAAAATTTCACTGGATACTCTTTTTAGTCTTTATTATAATCAAACCGTATTTCATCATCTCAGTACATGTTCACAACCTTAATGGTGGCTTTTAATGATACCTCGAGTACAACTCTAAGTTATTAGGGAAATTTGGGTGAAATTATAATTTTTATTGGGTTCCACAACAGGAGACGAATGCTGCATCATCATTTTCGAGGAACCGTTGCCAAATAAGGCAATTAATGGTCACGCTATCAGGAGCGAAGAGGTAACTAATGAGGGGAGCTGCCGGATGATGTGTTATATGGAGCCTAACTGTGTGTCCGTGAATTTAAGACCCGTACATGGAGGAAAATACAAATGTGAGTTGAATAACGCCACAGTTGATGAAAGTAAACTGACCTTCCTTGAGGATTTGGGTGCTTACTACCTGGCTATTGAGGTAATGTTTAACGATTGAATAATAGAAGAGGATATATTAAGTTGCTCCTTATAGAAAGAGCTGAATTAGAATACGTTTCTGGTTTTGAAAATTAGAGAAGACAAAAACTTAAATAAAAACAACAAGGCAACTTGAAGCCAACAGATCATTTTGTTGATCTTCGTTTTTCCTCTAGGCTATTGCAGGAGGATGAAAGAGAAGAAAACTTAAGATAGCGGCTTCGAAGTAGGCCAATAAATAAATAAAACAGCCATGCACAGACCAAGTTTTTCAAAACGGAATTTGCATCTCACTAGCATAGACATGTTTTGCGGAAACTGTTCTGTCTTTGTACGATATATAAGATCTGAAGGGATTTTTTTAGAGCTTGTTTCTTTGATTATATTCACATCATGTTTATATTCAGATCTTACAATTTAGATTTTCGCTATTTCAACAGAATCCCTGCAGTAGCAGTAGCAGCCCTTAACGGAACTTGTCAAGTTGGTTTTACCAGCAAAGGATTTCGATGTGTCTGTGTTCACGGATTTGTTGGAGAAAACTGCGGTGGTACTATGAAATCCTTTTTTGAATTGTACTTATTTCCTATTGTACATTAATGAAAAGACATAGTTTGCTCTTGCAGAAGTTATGAGAAACGTCAGACAGAAATACCATTAGCAAACGCAAAGTGCACCGTCGCGGGTACTGGAACGACGTGTGCTTTTTTAATCTGCTTATCACGTTTCCTGTCTTTCTCTCAGAAATAGAGTTAAATGGGGATTGACAAAACTAGTCGTTGTTTTACTCAACCTACAATAGATTACAACGAAGAAAAAATTTAAACTTTTTAAGGATGTATACCATCAACAACATGGTGACTTTCTTGGAAAAAATCTTTGTCAAAGATCCTGTATTTACGGCTGCACTCATATTTATGACGAACTGTGGCATAATTGATTCTTCAAAGTAACAGTGCTAAAAAAATTGTTCTAAAATATTTGTCAGTACTCCAATCACTTTACTTTTTATATCGATTGTGATGGAGAAGATAATTTTTAAATTATCAAAACAACATTGATGTAATTCATCGTGAGGCTCTCTTCAGCAAGTCTTTTAAAGAAACTTTTGATGAAACATTTGTCTTTCTTTATCACCACAGTGCCACCAAAGTCCTGCAGCCATTTATAAAAGCTCCATCGTGAAGCAAAAAGTGGACTATATATGATTGATTCAGACAGTGAACGTGAATTGCTGCCTCATAAGGTCATGTGTAACATGACTGACAAAAACGGAGTTGGCGTGACTGTCATAAGTCACGACAGCGAAAACAGAACACTGGTGAAAGGATGCGAAGATGCAGGGTGTTACTCGCGCAACATTAACCATACAGGAGCGAGCCTCTTTCAGCTTAAAAGTCTGACTGCTGTTTACCTTCACTGCGAGCAGTTCGTTATGTACGAGTGCTACCACTCCAGAATGAAGGGGTTCGTGATTCGAAGAAAATGACCTACTGGGGAGGTGCAAAACCGCGTCGTGACGTCGGTCATGATGGATTAACTTGCGCATACGGAATGAAGAAGACATGTACTGAAGCATACTATTGTTGTAACTGTGATGCGAATGATTCAAAAATGCGTGAAGACAGTGGTTTCCTCTCTAACATGACCGATCTGCCAGTCAAGCAGCTAAGGTTTGGAGATACGGGTCATAACAACGAGCATGGCTACCATACCTTAGGAAAACTGAAGTGCTATGGAACTGCTTAACTGTAATGATGCGCTCATAAACCAGTTTTATCCTTTCAGGCTCATATACTGTGCGAAATTAGAGAAAATATTATATTCAATTTAGCTGACGTTAAGGTTGACTGTGAGTTCCCAAAGACCTGGCGTTGATGTTATTAAGAAGACGCTGTGATCCTTAAGCCAGATGTTTCTTCATTTCTACGTTCATCTGATCTAGGGGTATTTCTGTATCGTTGAAAATACCTCGCGTACGACTAAGCCAGTAGTGTTCTCTGTCACTAAATGACAGCTAAAACTGTATTTATCGTGGATTTTGACAAGAAATTTTTGTAATAACTATGGTGTTGAATTTAAGAAAAACACCATAATCAACTTGACTAAGACTATTAAGACTATCAACCGCTATCTGGTTAATTAGCTCACGTGGATGAGCGCCGAACTACTGTGCAGGGGGTCGGGGTTCAAGACCCAGACCGGACCCACACTCAGGGTCTTAAAATAACTGAGGAGAATGTGTTGCCTTTGCCATGATATCTGCAAGCGGTTAGACATTCTAGTCTTCTCGGATAAGGACGAAAAGCCGTTGGCCCCGTCTCCAGCATCTTCTTCTAACTACTAGTTAGAAGGGGGAAGTCTAAGAACCCACACACTTATCGCAAAGAGTAAGGAACTTAGTTCCTGGTGTTGTGGCCTGCCCTATAAGGAACCCGACCGAATCCGAGCATATAAGCCTTGTAGAGAGGGAATGCTCGTAATATGGTAAATATGGTAATATATATGGTAAATCCATTGGTAAATCTATTTAAGGAACAGCATATTCCACTTTCATTTCACTTACATATCCTGATTTAAAAACTTTCTATGTGTTATCCTAACATCCCACGCGGGTCTATCACGTTTTAAACCCAAGTCACAACTGTGAATGGGGTTTAGCAGAGGGAACAAAATCATCTCTCAGCGTTTTTTTGGAGTTGGCCACTGATCCTAAGAAGACCTGTCAAGAAGCGTGTGAAAACAATCAGTGTTTGAAAGAAATTGAACAACCGGCGCGAAGAACAAAGTAAAGGGAGGTTACTGAAAAACCAAAATCACTCCCCTATCTCCATTAGTTCACCCTACGTGGTTGCCAAACCACATGGTACATGACAGAGCAGAAGAGCGACTCTAGTCACACCCATCATGCTTTAGGGCAAAGCGTTTCTCCCATGATCCTTTTGTAAATGGTCGCTCTTGCTTCTGAGTTGGCCATGTTGCTTCATGCAGTGAACTCTAGTTGGAAGTTTGACTGCTGTTGACGTATTACACTGTCACTCATGATAAGTCTTCATATATATTAGCTAGCCAGTCTCCCATTCGACAGTTCCACCCAGCTTGACAAATATTGACGGTGTACCGCTTTCATGGTTTCTGAGTGAAACTTAATTGACGCTTAATCAATGGACATTTAAGTCTGCAATGATTGACTATCATAATTTTGCAGCACAGAATAAGGTAACAGCGTAACAAGGATGCATAGTGTACGATGCAGATTTTTAATTCTGGAATATCTCCCTGCTGGAAGAATTTATAATGAAGTAGGTATTCTCGAAGCTTAACTATTGATGACCAAATTTGGTAATGATTACCTATCCAAATTAGAATGTATGCAAACTAAAAGCAGATGGATTATGATTATATTTGCATCAAGCTGGAGTAAAACTGCTTCTACTACTCCTTTTTATGGAGGGCATTGAAGTCAAATTTTCGAAAAAAATTTAACTTTTTGAGTGCTTTCCAGCTAGATCCTTTAAAGTGTTTTTCTCTTCAACATTCTGCTAATTATCTATGCCTGTGGGTGGGCAGCAGACAGGTGGCACTGTTTTGGCTAAACATGGAAAATTGTATTCATTTTCAGAGAAATCTATTTGTTATGATCATGAGTCTTAATAGTCTGAATAGCATTTGGGTCAAATTATTGGGCGCGCTCCTCTTTTAGTTCGTGTTTTTATTTCTACCTGCCTTCCTTCCTGAAATCTCCATAGAGTAGATTTTTTTGTACTTTAACGCATAAAGTTAAATGAATTTCATCCACACAAGAAGAGAACACGGATGCCTTACCACCATAAGTTACAAAGTTTGAATAAGAGAATCGTGCAGACGATGTCCTGATTTTTTTCCCCCTCTAAGTATTTGCACAAATAACCCTCACTGTCATTCATTCTCATTGTCCACTGAACCTATAAAAAGATGATAGCCTCTTTATATGTTAAATACACAAATTACCTCCGGCCTTTAACTCCCACCTCTGCATACATTATAATCGATCCCTAAATTCTCGTAAATATAAACTCTTTATAAGGCAGCCAGTAGTTCCAATAAAGTGAGGGGCTGTAGAATAAACTAACTGGAGCTTTCAGGCTCGGCTTAATCTAGATATTATTCAACCTAGAAGTGATGCATAAATTGAAAGGTAATTAATAAAAAAGGTAATTAATAAAAGTCCTGTAAGTTTAATGGACCGAAAACTTGAATTGCTCAGTAGAAATCGCTTATAGAATAAGACTGCTTTAAGCTAATTCAAGGAATGCTTCTTTTACTTTCTTTGGCTCAAGTAATAATCGCCGAAGTTAGTCACATATTTAATTTGAACTTTCATCCAGTTATCACCCAAGAGGTCTCATAAACATTCCATCCCAATAATATTGCACCTGGTGCACTATTACGTCCATCCGGGCTATAGCGATAAGTGCTATGTATAAACTAGGTGGTAGCAGCAGTTTTTTAACTGTTTTACCGGAGCCCACAAGTGTTTGCATGCACAAGAATGAACTCCTCGTGTTATTTCAAGAGGGGAGCGAGAACTTTCCCTGTTACCCTTATTATTTTACTCGGAATCAGATTAGCATCAGTTTTTGCCTGTATTGGTGAGTTGAATTCGTTTGATCCGTGTAGTTTGACATAATTACCTATAGAGGATGCGATAAGGTGTTTGTCAGGGCGTGAGATAAATAACACTTCCTGTGTGTAATGACTTAAGCCTGGTTTTCACTGACGACGCGAGCGCGAGCGTAAGTACAAACGTAGGAACAAACGTAAGCATAAGGTTTACATGCCAAATAAAAACGAACATCGACAAGCACTAGCATAAGATATGAGAAAAATGTTGATCCTTACACTTTTGTTTACGCTTGCGAAGAGGCTTGCGTAGAGGCTGTTTTCACGGTGAAATATGAGCTGTTATGCTTGCGTCGCTAGTTTGAACTGTTTTACCGGCGCTCAGTGAAAACTAGGCTTTAAGGGATTATGTACCTCACATGATACAAAAATTACACTTTTGGTCAGGTAAACAATATTTAACTGAGTTCACTTTATTTTGTTTGCTAATCAAGGACGAGTTTGATTGTTTTGAACAAATTTTCCTAATTTAAAATTCGTTTCTCTTTTCCTTGATTACCGAGAAAATAATTATCGAGAGCATTTTACAAGAAAAAAATTAGGCGAAAGAAAACCCATTTATGAATTTTTGAAGGTGATTTAAAAGTACGCGATAGCTGACTTCTTGGCTAATTCAATTTTTTCTTATCAAACTTGAGACGATGAAAAGGAACTAATATATCTCCCTGCTTGTAATTAACATAAAGTTAAATGTATTATTCAGAGGCTTTGAATAATCACGTTTTCTTTCTCCTAAACTCTTATTGATATTAATGTTTTAAACTTCGTTCATTGCAGAGCGACTTCAAAAAGGTTGCGTAGATTAACTGATATTTTTTTATATTAAGAATGACTCAAAAATGCGGTGAAACAATTTGAATAGAGGCTCAAAGATGATTAAATATCTTAATTTATATTCACAACCTAGCATTTGGCCTTCAATGATTACTCGCGCTTTGTCTTTCCTACGCAAGTTGCAGCTCTAAGTTATCGTGAAAACCCCGAGCACACTATGTTGCATAGTAAAATTTTACTCTGGTCCACAACAGGTGACGAATGCCGCATTATCCTGTTCGAGGAACCGATATCAAATAAGGTGATTAGGGGTCACGTGATCAGGAGTGAGGAGGTACCTGATGAAGGGAGCTGCCGTGTGATGTGCTATATGGAGCCTAACTGTGTGTCCATCAATGTAAGACTCGCGCAGGGCGGAAAATACAAATGTGAGTTGAATAACGCCACAGTTGATGAAAGTAAACTGACCTTTCTTCAGGAAACGGATGCTTACTACCTGGCTATTGAGGTAAATGCTTCACAAAAACTTTACTCATAATAGCAAAAGGATTGAATGCTGCAGAAAATTGTACTCAGAGTAACCCGCCCCTTGCTTAAGATGGCACTTTCTCTCTTTCTTTCTTTTTTCTTCCTTTTTGCTTTGTTTTAAAAGTGGGACTCGAATTAAAGCTGATAGACAGTTTGTTTAATCTCTCTAGTTCCTCTAAGTCTTGCTCGATAGGATCTACGTAATAACTCAAGGGTAGCTGTAAAAAAACTTCAATAGAGCCCCAGAAATTTATCAACTTTTGACGCCTTACTAAATAATTTTTGGATTCAATTTATCGAATGTCAAAAATCTTTTCTTATCACTTCGATGCCTTCTCTTTTCAACAGAATCCCTGTAGTAGCAGTCCTTGTTTAAATAACGGAACTTGTCAAGTTGGTTTTACCAGCAAAGGATTTCGATGTGTCTGCGTTCACGGATTTGTTGGAGAAAACTGCAGTGGTACTTTGAAATCCTTTTTCGAATTGTACTTATTTCCGATTTTATATTCATGAAAAGACATAGTTAGCTCTTGCGGGAGTTATGAGAAACATCAGACAGAAATACCACTAGCAAACGTTAAGTGCACCCTCGCGGTTACTGGAACGACATATAATTTTTTAATCTGCCTTATACTCATCACGTTTCCTGTCTTTCTCTCAGAAACAAAGTTAAACGGGGATTGACAAAACTAGTCGTTGTTTTACTCAACTTGCATTAGGTTACAACTAAGAAAATGTATTAATTTTTTGAGGATGTATATCATCAACAACATGGTAACTTTCGGGAAAAAAACTTTTTCAAAGATCCTGTATTTATATCTGATATGCTGCGCTCATATTTATAACGAATTGTGGCATAACTGATTCTTCATTCTAAAAACGTTTTTAACCCACATTAAGCAATATTTTTCGTTTGAAAATAAAACTCTGTTGAAATTAACGTAATATTTCATTTACAAATTCATTTCTTTATCTTGACAGTAGTGTTCCGACCAAAGTCTTGCAGCGACTTAAAGAGGGTCTATCCTAATACAAAAAGTGGACCATGTACCATCTATCCTGATGGCGAAGGAGGGTCGCAACCATATAACGTCATATGTAACATGACCGACAAGAACGAAATTGGCGTGACAGTCGTTAGTCACGACAGCGAGAACAGGACGCTGGTGAACGGATATGAAAAAAAGGGATCTTATTCACGTGACATACACTACCAAGGGGCGACCGTTTCTCAGTTGGTGGGTCTCATCAACGTTTCTAAGCACTGTGAGCAGTTCATCAAGTACGAGTGTTTAGCTTCTACATTGAACGATGGCTTTTGGGTTTCACGTGATTCCGTGAAAATGACTTATTGGGGCGGAGCAACTCCTGATCCAGATAGTCCTATGAAGTGCGCATGCGGAATGAATAACACCTGCGCAATTAAAGATAAAGTTTGTAACTGTGTTGCGAATGAAAACAACTGGCTGGAAGACAGCGGTCTCCTCACTGAAAAGACACATCTACCGGTTAAACAGCTGAGGTTTGGCGATACAGGTGACGACACCGAGCAAGGCTACCATACCTTGGGAAAGTTAAAATGTTACGGAATCGTCTGATTTGAAAAGAAAACAAAATAGAGAATACTGCATGGGCGCGTGTAGATATGGAATTTCTCTTTCAGTGTTTAACTCGATAGCGAGTGAGATGTCGAGTTGAACACCAGAAGAGAAATTCCATTTCTACAAGCAACCATGTATTGTTTTGTTTATCTTAAAAACGCAATAGTCCTTTACTGACCCGAAAAGTCGACTTTATTAATGAATGAATATAAAAATATCGACACTCCGAATAAAAATCATAGCGTACGTTGGTGCACTCAAGATAAAAACATTCAATCACTACGAAAACAAACAATGGGCGTAATTTCAATATGCAAAATTCTCAGTGATTGAATTGGTCCTAACCTACCGAGGAAATCTTTCAGGTACATGGTGAATATCAGCCCTTGGCAAATCTTTTAGTCGTTGATTTTCGTTCTCAGCCGCGGGAAATGCCATTACCAAAGCCACTGAATACATAACTTTCGGTGTTTCTTTTCGTCTTTTAGTTTTCTTCCCCTTTTAGGAAAGTCTGAATGTCACTGTTGGTAAACGATACGGATTTTTCAGTGTTTTAGCAACCATAATCTGAAACGACCTTGGATTGAGAATGGTGAAGGCTTTGCCGTTCATTCATCAACCTGACCGAGTGGCGCGAAAGGCAAGAACGTGTCTGCAGCAGATTGGTGATATCAAACGCGTGAAAAAATAATGTATTTTTTACGTGTGTTGTTACGGCTTTTTTCAGGACTGGAAATCCTTGTTTAACACTGTAGTTTATATGATAAGAAAAAGTATCAAGCTCGGCAATTCCGTATGATATTTCAATCGACCTTTTCATTAATTGCTTCAGCAACTAGTTTGAAGGCTCAAAATGGTTAAAAAAAAATATGATATGGTAAACAAGTAACACATTCTACCCTTTTTGTCCATGAGGTGCAAAATTCCATATACAGATGAGTGAACAGCTTATTTATGCATGGTGATTATGAAGTACTTTGTAAATTTATTGAGGACGCAATTTTTTTATGTTTAATCAAATGTTGAACCTAGTAACACTAAATTCTTTATCTACAGGTCAGCTTGTTGGCTTTGGATCATAGCAAATTTTTGGTACACCTTGCATTTTAGTACTAATGATATCATAGCTGAACTTTAGGTATTAACCTCATAGCAAAGTTTTGTGAAGTTCTTTCGTACAGAAAAATTATTCAGAACAGTTCATACTTCCTGGTGTACATTGTAAATGACAGGGTAATTTGGCATTATCATCTGAATTGATAACGTAAATTAGCCACTGTAAAGAGTTTGAAAGCTGAGGTTTCGAGCATTAGCCCTTCGTCTAACTCTGACGAAGGGCTAATGCTGGAAACGTCAGCTTTCAAACCCTTTAAATATGGTGGCCAATTCACGTTATCAGTTTAGTTGATAATACCAAATTACCCTTGTACGCCCTCCCACCGAAGCAGCACCACAGTGTCTTCAGAAACTTAACCCCTTTATTCATTGTAAATGACATTTCATGGAACTGAATTCTTTGTGATAACAACTAATAACATAACACAGTAGCATATATAGCATTTTGTAGTAATGTAATGTTTCCTCTACACTTAACCAGCACGTATCGTGCAAGAGTGCTTTTTATACTCCTAGGAAAAAAGCGTAATTATGGCTTGTATTTTAGATACCAAGAGATCATAAGGGGACCTTTTCATCTCTTATAGATAAATACTCAAGTAGCACTATGCGTTAACACTTATGCAGTGTATGAGTCGTGTCAAATGAACTCACCGCTGAAACATAACTTTATGGAAATCATATCTCTTTGTAGGGTTTGGTGATGGCAACTGATTTGTTTCAGTAAAGCATGAACCATAATGCATTGCCTCTATTAAACAGCCTTTACGATGACAAGTAATGTGTACCTTCATCATCAAAAATCTTTATTCTATGACTAATTCTCTGCTTCTTATCTTTCCAAAAGACCACAGGAAATGGCTACTTTAAGGATTTTCTCGCTTGAAGTACATGTTTGGCAGGCGTTTCCCTATCAATCGTGAGACCAAAACTACCAGTAAGACTAATGATGAAATATGGGAATACCGTAAATCCTTTAAGTAGTGTATTTAGTGCCGACCGTGTTTACCCGGTGAAAATCCGCCCTCGAAAAAACGCCGTTTGTGAACGCTGTAAATGTGTGCAAAATTGTCAATGTCACCCTCTCCTTGGTTAAGTTCCGCAACCTATCTGAAGATTGCGGCACTTTTTCTAGGATTATAGGCAAGAAAAAGAATAATAAATATATCAAGTAAGGTACAGCTCGGTAGTCCAAACCATCCTTTGAAGTTTATATTAAATGGCAAGATATTGGAACAAGAAATGTCTCAGTTTTAGTTAATATTTGCGAAGGATTTGCCGTAATTAGTGCCACGCTTTCTTGAAAAATACGAGTCTATTTTTATTTTGGTGTATGATTGAGCTTTGGCGGAATAAATTTACCAGTTGAAATGACAAGCTAAGTATTACATCTCTGACATTTTATAAGTAATCTTATTTCATGAGAATTTTATGTAAATGAGACTGAATTATGATTACATTCCAGTGAGAATTCTATAGTCCCTAAGGTGAAACTTCTCTAACTTTAAAAGTACTGGTGTATATTTGAGAGAGTATTTGTGGCTCTATTAAGACTTTAATTTCGGTTTGCGCAATCACCGAGTGAAGACAAAGTTTAATTTTAATTGTTGAAGTATCTACATTTAAATTTCTCTCGGGATCTACAATAATCAATCTTATCAAAAAAAAGAGGATAAGAAGCTTTTGGGTTGCGTGCATCTTTCCTTCACAGGTCTGAATGCTCAGAAGCAGTGCGTAAGAGCAGTAAGAAGCAAACGCAAAGTGCAACGCTGAATGTGGCAGCATCACGGATGATGTGACAGCAACATGGTGCATGGGTATTGTTGCTAGGGAACAGTATCTTTACGAATGATTCAATAATTAATACTAGACCCCTGCACACACATTTGAAACCCTTGAAAATTTTGGAGCCGTTCTCTCCATAAGAACCTCAACAAACTAGATAGAAAAGCCGATAAAAATGTCGATTACCTTTGTGTCGAAAATATTGCGTCGAGTGGCTCAAAGCGTCAACCGCCTCTACCATCGCCTTCTTTCTCATTAGCATAACAAAAGGAAGCAGTGTTGATTTCAAATGTGAACCATGAATAATTTATTCTACAGCATTCCCTTTGGACCACAGAAAATAAGGTGATCTAAGGTTATTGTTTGAAGCGGAATAGCAGTAGATGTAGAGTTTTAAAATTCGCCTGTGGACCTACTGCTCAGCCAATAAGTTTATATGTCGTAATTGCCGCTGCAGGTGTTTTTTGCTCAGTCACTAATCATGCACATCCTAATAACATGAAACTCTTGCGAAATATCCTTTGTCACCTAACTCCGCCGATACATGTCACAGGACGAAATGACATATTTCCGTATTTCTGAAACGTGGCGGAAACATGCAACTCCATGTTTCCGTTATGTTTAACATGCACAAAAAGTGGTCCGGTTCCGTTGTATACGCAGCAACGGAAACGCGAGAAAACGTCACGAAACCGGTAACGGAAACACAGGTTATCCGTCGTGTTTCCAGAACGGTTTAACATGTTTCTGCCACGTTTCCGTTTACGGATTCTTGCAATTTCGTCTTGTGTGTCATGCTAGGAGACAGTTTTGGTGTCTGCCTGAACTGCCTATAATTTGAGCGCTTATGCGGGGATGGCACTAAGCACATTAAACGAGCTTATGAGTTTTCAATTTCTCAAAAGCCTCATTCGCTAATAACTTTAATAACTTTATATAGCTTTCTGAGTAAAGAAAAGGATAAGTAAGACTTCGATGGTTATTTTCATAAGTAGTCTCTTAAGTGTTCTAATTAGAATTCTGCCTTTAACACCATACATATTGCACCTGCTGTAATTTAACTACTTCCCGTCCAACGGAAATTTTAATAGATATCTTTTGCATACTGGTTTAACTGCGTCGCCGAGAATTTCCACAAAGAATGAGTCTTTGGGCCTACTTTAAGAGTGGGGAGATAACTTTCTCTTTCATCCTGTCTGTTTTGATAGGTATCAGACTGGCATCAGTTTTTGCATGCATTGGTAAGTGTAAATGTAGGAATAAATTAGAGTGCTCTAGTTTTTTTTTTGTTTTTGCGTCTTCTAAGGATGTGTTAATTTGAACGTGTAGTGAGGTATAGGTCCTTATAATATAAGATTACTAGAGCTGGGTTATATCGTCTGAATTTTTTTGTGTTCGTCATTTATTTGCCATTTCTTCGCAAGATTACAGGTGAGACGGGCTGCCGTGAGCCGCAAAATTAAGAAAAATAGTTGTCACCATGTTTTAGTCACATCGAAACGATTATAAGAGCAAATTTCAACTATACCCTATCGTCCAATGAAATCCTCAGAAACGTTTGTCAGGACCATTTAACATGGAAATGCTAATAACCGATTGCTACTTCTAAGGTCGTTTCACAATTTTTACCTCTTACTTGACAATCTCGTCTGATGTTGCCATCATGGAGAAGCCTTCCGATTTACATGCAGGGTTTAAATAGATATTTTATAATCCTTACCCCTTATTTACGTTCAACCTTACAATTTATCTTGTCTAAGAAAGTACAGAAGGAAACACATCTCAATAGGATCAAATATTGGTTGATATACTGATTATCCGTAGCAATTATAAATTTATTTTTGAGATAAGATGGAGCTGGTACGAAGACCCAACAAATGAGGCGAATTGATCAAAAGAGCTGTTTTCAAAGCTTGGAGGGATCATGCGCTAGGCAAGCAGGTGAAACTTTCGCAGCAACTTCAAGCGACTCCTTTGAAATCATCTGCGTGAGAGGAAGCGCCTAATCGCCTGCAATGCTCGGTGTCTTACATTTCTTTTTCATTTTTTCAAAGTTCTGGCCGCAGTCGTTAGTGATGCATTATATGAACATATCATCTTCATCCAAAATAGGAAAGCCAAATACGACGAAAATGTTGCAAAGCTTTGGAAAATTACTGGTGCTTTGTTGAAGCATAGGCAATGTATTTAGCGTGTCATTCAGTCGGCCACTTGGGCTGCACAATGAAAGGAAAAGAAACGCGAAATGGAGGGTTTGGATTAAATTATAAAGCACGGTGTTTTCTTGGAAACATTAAAAAACGTCCTACTCGTTAACGATAGGCAGGAAGGTATTTGCCCACAAACTTTCTCAAGATGTAAAGTACGGGAAACAATGCACTAAATACAAAAAAAAGCTTTAATTAAAATGAATCATCATTTCCCTTGTTTGCCACAGGTGACGAATGCCGCATCATCTTGTTCGAAGAGCCGATCGCAAATAAAGCAATCAAGGGGCACGTGATCTGGAGTAAGGAGGTACCTAACGAGGGGAGTTGCCGTATGATGTGTTATATGGAGCCTAACTGTGTGTCCATTAACGTGCGACCATCACAAGGCGGAAAATACAAATGTGAGTTGAATAACGCCACAGCTGATGTAATCTCCCTCGAAAACTGGGACACTGCCTACTATCTGGCTGTTGAGGTAAACTGTATTCTAGCTTAGTACATTGAAGAAAACCTGATAGACAAAGAAAAGAGAAATCTTTCAGGGAAAAAAGAAGAAGGGCTTAAAGCAGACTTAACCCAAATTTTCTGTCAAGTGGAGACCAGGCCAGTTCATCCTCGAGCAAAGGTATAGGGCGCTTTACGACTGGGTGTTTTGAACCAGAAACAGATCAATCTCTACAGCCAACAAGACCAACGTAAAAGATGAGAAATAAATTAATGTAAACGAGCACAAACTGCTTTGAGTGCACGCAGTCAAACGCACGCGTAAAAAAACGGCGACTATCGTTTAAGCTTTAATCTGATCACAGGTGCCCAAGCTCCAGCTGTGAGATGATCATCTTGCGAAATAAGAGCCATGGCGAAATTATAAGAGTTTGTATGGGAATATTTACGACCGCTCTTAGGAATAAAAAATACGTAGTAAACCTAGAAATGGATAACTCGCTAAAATGGGTTCTTTTCAACATAATAAACGGTCCGATAGCAAGCGATGCACTGTGGAAGTAAGGTGAGGTATTTTTATTAAGAATTTGACTGTATTTTTTATTCCTAAGAGTGGTTGTAAATATTCGCATACAAATTCTAAGAATTATAATTCGCCATGACTCTTATTTCGCAAGATGATTAACTCACAGCTGGAGCTTGGGCCGCCTGTGATCTGATTAGCTAGGACTGCCGTGGTATGTGTTTTCTGGACCAATCGCAAAGGGTAGTGATGCAAGACCGTCGAATCAGAGTCATTTTCATGTTCATTGTTCTTTAAAGTTGTTTGACTTGTAAATCATATTGCTTAATTCTTCTTAGAATCCCTGTCGTAGCAACCCATGTTATGATGGCAGTACCTGTCAAGTTGGATTCACAGGGAAAGGTTTTCGCTGCATTTGCCCCATTGGATTCCCATCAATAAAATGCTTCAAAGGTATTGTTACATGTTTTCTCTTACCGAATACCTGATATTTTTTTGCTTCAAAACTAACTCTTATATAAGCTGGTCGAAGAGAAGTCATCTTTCTTACTATACATACAAAAGATTAGTTACAATGAAATAAATGATACCAGCTTTGACCTGCGGAAAAGGAAAGAGCTTTGCAAGTAAGCCACAACTGATACGATTGCGGTAATTAAAGAAGCCTGGAAAAATTCGGACTTCGACAGTATTCAGGAGGCATGGGTTCGAATCTTGACGAAGTCTTCTTTCTTTTTTTCCGGCCTCTTAACTTTTCTCTAATCGCTTTAACCGTGGCTTATTTGCGAAGATCATTTCTTTGCCTGTGTAACAAGATTAAATTTTTCCCCATGTCAGTCTAAGCGTTAATATTGGAACAATAGTTTCCAGGAAAAAATTTAGGGAATGTATTGAAACGCACACGAGTTATTCATAAAAACGTATTTTTGAACAGAATTATTTAGTCCACCAAAATGTGAATAGTCAATTACGACATGTCAATATAAATGACTCCCGAAGGGTTTCTTGCGGCAAAACATCCTGGTCCTTGAATTTCAATTGCGTAAACATCTCCTGGTTCATTTGCACGTGGAGATCTTTGCTATCTGTCTGCGAATTCAACTAGAAAGTGAATGGAGAAAGATCAATAGGAGAAGAGGTGAAAGTGAAAAAGAAGCCTGGCTGTCAGCAGAAGAAGTTAACAAATTCGATCGTGGTTTAGGCAATCTTGGCTGCTCGCATTCGATCAGCAAGTTTTTCCGCGCCGCTCTTAAGTTGAAAAAAGGTAGTTGAAATCAAGACTTCCATTCAACAGAATAGAATTAATGGTCTGTCTCGATATGTTACCACGAGTTACCCGCAAAATAAGTTTTCGCTGAGAGTCTTCTGAGACTCTGCAGGGCGCTTCTGTGATTCAATTAGTTTCTCAGAGTTTCTCAGTGTTGACATAACTCGACGTGTGGTCACCCAAAGATGTGAATTGTTGGGAAAACTTTAGAAGCAAAAAGAACCAACGTAATTCGTTTTTACGCGAATGTGCCTTCTTTGAACGATTTAATAGGGTTATAAACTTTACGTATTTCCTTGAAGTTTGGTCCGAAGACTCCCAAGATACCAACCTAAAAGACCATATGGGGGAATTCCGTTTTTCAAAATGATCTCTTTCGGTGGCCTCCGACGCAATGCGTATTGTTAAAACTTTGATCACAAACTTGACAGATAAATTGCAAAGTAACCGAGTAGAATATCGAAAAATCCTCACATGGTGTTGAAGACCAACCCCACACGATTGAAACTGTGCAAACATTTTTATTTATGCTATCAGATTTGATACGCGATTAATTCTCTCAAAGAAACATCGTCCATTTGGATTGGATCAAGCTTAAAACGAAATAGTTTTTGTCGAATAGTGCATTTTATAACCTTCCCATTAATATATAGTTTATGGTAATTATGCCTCAAATAGCGCGTTAAATCTTTTTTTTTTGTGAAGGGCATCCGCGAAGGTGTACTGTATCCTTAATTGTGGTTAAGGAATCTAACCGTAAACCTTTCTTCTTACTATTAGCCAAATCTTGCAGCGACGTGAAGATGCTCGATTCAACTGTGAAAACCGGCCCGTATGTCATTGACTCTGACGGTGAAGGAAAATTGAAGCCATTTAACGTCACGTGTAACATGACCGACAAGGACGGTGTTGGCGTGACAGTCATAAGTCACGATAGCGAAAACAAAACACAAGTGGACAAATGTAAAGACCGAGGCTGTTACTCACGTAACATCTCCTATACAGGAGCGAGCTTTCCTCAACTGGCGAGTCTCACCAGGGTTTCTAAGTACTGTGAACAGTTTATAAAGTACGAGTGTAAAGCCTCAAAAATATTCGCTAAAAAAATATCCTCGAAGGCCCGAAACAGATCTTACGCCTGGTGGATGTCACGTGACTCCATCAAAATGACCTATTGGGACGGAGCAGACGCTAATAGTGATAAGTGCGCATGCGGGATAGAACGCACTTGCGTAAACAGAACACTTCGATGCAACTGTGATACGAATGACGAGGAATGGCGCGAAGACAGTGGCCTCCTCACTAACAAGACGCATTTGCCCGTCAGGCAGCTGAGGTTTGGAGATACAAATCGGAATAAAGAGGAGGGTCACCATACCTTAGGAAAGTTTAAGTGCTATGGAATTGCTTAGTTGTAGTGAAAAAAAAAACTGACTTTCGAACTTGCTCTTCTTCAGCTTTGAGTATGCAGCAGGACCAAGTTGTTCGAGATACAATTAATATGGCACCTTGTATCTAAGTTTGTGCTTTTAATTCCTACAAACACTTGTTGAGTAATTACCAATAATCAGGATGGCAGAGGCTCGAGTCTAGATGAAAGAAGACCGAATTTTATTTCGAGGAGTGTTACTGTATCACATACTGAAAAACATACTTTGATCCAGAAACAGAATTGTTCTTCCGTAAAATAACCTCAATGAAACAATTGCAAGTAACACCCTAAGGAAGCGCTAGTCACTCAGCCGCTTCTCTTGGAAGGGACTATATATAAGTTTAGTTATATGTTACCTAAAGTATTTGAAAGTTAGCTGTTAATTAAAATTATATAACCAATTTCTTCATAGCTAAATTGAAGGTTACATTTGCGTTGCTAATTACTCTTGCTATATATTAGTCCTAGCCGCGTTTGACTAGTCAAATTGGATGAAAGTTTATAGATGTGACATTTCGGGGAATTTGCCTTATGTAACGCTTTTATATTTGATAATTTTAGTGTGAAGTATTCAATGAATTATTGCGATACCCCTCTATGAATTCACCAATAAAATAAAACTTCACCACTCAGGTGGAACTTTCAGTCAATTTAATTTGTTTTTTATAATCTCTTGTTTTAATATATAGTCATCCAATTGATCCGTATGTCGTGGATATTTAACTCATGACAAACTACAGTAGGCATTTCGTCACAAATTTCTCTGTTTGTAAGTTCTGTTTTTTGTTCAATAACTAAGAAAACAGAAAGCCCATGACTTAGACCATCTATCACGCAATGCATGAGAGGGTGTTTTACTCTTATTAGGACTCATCAGGGGGTTATTAAGCCCTTGAACTTCTGGAAATGAATTAAGGCGTTACGATGCAATACTTTTCTACTCGCTTTGATTTTATTGGGATAATTGTCTTGATGAAACTCATTTTTCTATCCTTCAGAATCTATATAACTCCTGTCTCCACGGTGCGACCTGCTTCTATGGATTTACAGATAAGAAATAAATTTCCCTATGTCCAGTGGGTTACACGGGGGAACAATGTGAAAAAGATAACGAAAAAACCATTTCCTGTGGTATTCAGACTATTGGTACACAAACAATATGGGAAGAATGAATCAAACGTTGGGTAATGTGTCAGAGGTTATTTAGACACAAACTGTATTGCAAGTGATGTATTGTGGGTAATTTGTTGTATTGGGGTTTAGTTATTATAATTAATGTGTGCCATTGTAAATAAATACTTTATTACAAAAAAGTTGTTTATATTTGGCACGGGATCTGATCGAAACGAACGACGTGCATTCAGAGTGCCCAAGTTAAATGGGGATTGACCCTATGTTAAATTTTTCTCTAGCCTAGAACCATGACATCTGTAGTTTGCTACGTCATTAATTTGTCACCTTTGTAGTTAACATCAAATATTAATCTTTTTCACCAGAAGTCAAGTCTTGTAGTGAATTGAGGACTCTCGACACCATAACAAAAACTGGCCATGATGTCATTGATCCTGATGGTGAAGGAGGACTGATGCCTTATAATGTCACCTGTGACATGACTAATAAGGATGGAGTTGGCGTGACTGTCTGAAGTCACAATAGCGAAAACAGGATAACAGAGGACAATTGTAAATCCTCCGGCTGTTATTAACGTGACATTCATCATACGGGTGCGAGCTTTCCTCAGCTAATGAGCATCACCAGGCTTTCCCAGCTTTGTGAACAGTTCGTAAAATGCGAGTGTAAATCTTCAAAACTATTCACCGAAAACATAGCATACGCCTGGTGGGTGTCATCTGATTCCATCAAAATAACCTATCGGGACGGAGCAGCAGCTAAGAGCAGTAAGTGCGCAATCGGGATAAAAGGCACAGGCGCAAATGTAGCTCGTAAGTGTAACTGTGATGCGAATGACAGAAAATGGCGCGAAGACAATAGCCTCCTCACTAACAAGACACATCTACCCGTCAAGCACCTGAGATTTGGAGATACAGATCTCGATCACGAGGAGGGTTACGATACATGTACCTTGAGAAAGTCGAGGTGCTATGGAATTGCATAGCTGTAATTGTGATATTGACCGTGCTCTTCCTTCAGCTACGAGTAGAGAATATAGCAGGGCTAAGTTGGTCGAGATACGATTAGTATGGCAGCTCATATCAAGCCTCGATATGATCATAAAACTAGTTTTTCATAATTCTGATCAAATTGAAGAGTGCTATCTATGATGATATTTCAGCGCAAAAGCCTCTTAAGTTCTTAAAAAAATCTTGGAGTGATTACCAATAATCAGAGGAGCAAAGGTTCTAATGTTTTTGGAAGACGTTAGACTTACTTCAGGAGTGTTCCTTTATTAATAATTGCTAATATAATCCGTTCCAAAAACTAAACAGAGCCTTCACGTGTTAACTCTTTGAAAGTCACATTATTTATTTATAGCCACCCAAATGATTTGCATGCCATGCATAATACATATATTTAGCCAAGCCTGAAAGCGGAGCTCGCATTTTTTTTCCCGCACGTCTCAAGGGCACAACGCCTTGCCCCAGCCAGGACTAGCACCCGGGTCGTCCGACTCGGAGCCCAGTGCACTGACCACTGGATATTGGACAAAGCCGTGGCGTTGGCGTGCCCGCGGTACAGTTGACACGCATGTTAAAAGTAGCACTTTGTACGGTCGTACGGTCGTACATCCAAATTTTTTCGGCTTGATGGCTTACTACTATTTTGTATAATAATGGGGGCTACGCTCTGCGAGCTTCGCTATTATAGTAATGATAAATTAAGATTGTTGTCACCTATTTCTTCGTTGATTTATCCGATTCTTTTTTTGATCAATGACTGATAAAACATGAACCCTCAACCTGGACCAACACTCAAGGCCATATCACCCAAAAAATCACCCTCGAAGACCCAGGAACAAAATGTTCAGGGAAGAGGAATATAAAACAGCGGTTTGGGTTTGATGGCGAACGTTTATTTGACGATCCAAAGGGCGTTTAGCGTTTTCCTCTTTCGCCTTACAAGTACACTTCGCGTTGAAACGAAACTGCCGTCTCATTATCCCGCTTTTTCCCGCATAGCTTCCCTTGGCATCCAGGGATGCCAAACAACGCACCAGGAGTTCTCCTAATCAGGACGGATGTTAAGCAGTTGAACTCTTGGGAACGTCCATCAGCTGCCCCTCCAAGAACTAAGGCGAGTGCAAAGCATTTTTCTAAGCCAACCGCGACTGCTGAATTAACTGCAGCAGTAACGTGCCAGTACCAGTATCAGTTATACGCTTTGGATGGAGGAATTTGATAGAAATAACTTCAGCTGATGGGGCTAAGAATGAGTTGAAAATAAAGCAGCGGTTTCGTTTCGACGCGAACTGTACTTGTCAGGCCTAAGGATGAATTGAGTGGTAAGTAAACAGAGGCTCGTGATGGGTTTTCGAAGGATCTCAGAGAATTACTAAGAGCCTAAGATGTTCGAAGCGAAGTTAAAATTCAACAATTACGGGGGTAAAGGGGGTAAGTTTCTAAAGATATTGTGGTGCTGCGTTGGTGGGAGAGTATAACAGGGTAATTAAATTTTATTAATTGAGTTTATCATGTAAATTGGCCACCTTATAGAGTTTCAAAGCTGTCGTTTCGAGCGTTAAGCCTTCATCAGAGCGAATAGAGGAATTTTGACACAGTGACCCTACATTTCCCCTTTGATTCGAAGCTGTTCGACGATTGTTTTATCGAGACCCACGGTCTCTGGCTGTCCCGAAATTTCTGAGAAGTCGTTTGGGCATTTTGCCTTAAAACACCTGTCGTATTGTTGTGTGGTCCTCTAAATACACAAATTCCTGTCACGCACGCAACAAATAAACTTGTAACAGGAGCTGTCGTGTTTTTTCCAGCATACCGTTTAAACTACGCGAACAAATAAGCTGTCTCTTTAAGAATGATGTGCTTCAAGAGTGCTTTTTCAACTTCCTCATTTATCTTCATCATTTTACTTGGAATCATTTCGCCACCGGTTTACGCTGACGCTGGTGAGTAATGTCATAAGAAAGCAATGACCTAAAGCAACTGAATATATGACGTGTTCATTGCCCTATTTACAAGCATGGAAACACGAATTCAGTGAAAAAAAAACGAAAGCCTCAATTCATAACCGTTTTATATTTTGATTAAATGTGGTTGGACAATTCTTAGGTGAAATAGCCCTGGTCTCTGTCGATATTCAAAGAGACCGAGTCAAAGAAAAAAATTAAATTAACACAATAAGTTAGCATCGACTTCTGCTTGCTATGTTCGACAACATAGCCCTTTGAATTCAATTTCCTAAACGCACTTAATTTTAAACGTCTCAAGGAATAAATACCTAAGAAGAAAAGCATAGTACTAAGCTTTCATAGTTTTGAGTTCTTATTGTTTCGTTCGAACCTTTAATCAACGGGAAGTCGAGATCCCACACCTGCCTCGTGTTTTCGAGAGCACAGTTCGAGAAAGATCTACTGTTATGAAAAATAGGACATAAAATACAAGGCAAGGAAACCAAAGTTTTTGACCGTTTAAAACATTGCACTAGATAAAAATGATTAAGTCTGCTTACCTAGCTATGTAACGTGTTAGAAAATTTTAATTTTGTCTTTTTACTTGTCTTTACAATCGTAAATAAGTAATGCCAACGTCCTCCTATTAACGACATGCAGTGATAATTTCGGAGCGCGAAAATGGTTCCATACTTATGGAGAATTCCCCTAGCGAAGTTTTTTCTTTGTAATTATACTGAGATCTTTTGAAGTTTATGACTCAGTCTGTCGTAAAATCGCTTTTCTCGCAATCGCGCTTCCAGAGGGATAGGAGTTTAAAAAAATGCTTTTACGTTGTCAGGTAATTCTCAATTCAGAAATGGGACTGTTAAAAAATAAAGTCTAAATACGTGGATCGAGGTATAACCGAAGCCGAGAACCTCTTTAGCGTTTGTACATTCTAGTCAAGCGTTTTCAGAATGTCTTTAACTGAAGTATGCTTAGCCATTTGAGTTCACCGAATGAATCAGGCGCCAATCAATTCGCGAAAGTTTCAAATCGAAGTACCTCCAAATCTGAAGAATTCTTGCTAAATGTAATTTCGCAAGATATTTCCAGGAGCTATTATACGCTCCTGACACTCATCAAAAGCTTAATGAGATGCAAAAGCTCTGCTTATAAAATTGCTTAAATGTTGGTACAATTTCAACCAGGGATTGTGATTTTAAAGTTGATGACAAAGAATTCTTGAAAGCAATGGAAAGTTAAAATTGAAAATTAACGTATTCCGTCGGAACTTTCTTTGGTCTTATTCAGGTGACAACTGCCGCGACATTTTATTCATGGAACCAATACCAAACAAAGTGATTACGGGCCACGTGATCAAGATTTTAGAACTACCTTATGAAGGAGAGTGCCACGTGATGTGTTATATGGAGCCCGATTGTGTATCCATCAATGTTAGACCTTCTTACGGAGGGAAATACAAGTGTGAGTTAAATAACGCCACAGCTGATGTAGACCAATTAACTGTCGTTCAGGAAGTAGCCGACAGTTATTACCGAGCTATTGAGGTAAATAAGCATTTCAGTCACTAGATTGGAGCTTATTATCTTTTTTTTTCTTCCTTTTTTTTCTTTTTGCGTGCGAATTAAGGTGGTTTATAGGTTTTATGAATGGAACACTCATGATGAAAGTTATCTTTGAGCTGTTCCTGAGACGACACCATCTTTGCTGCTAAAACATTGCAGCCCATAGAAACAACCTAAAACAAGCAGAACAAAACAAAATCAAAAGGATAAGAAAAGTTATATACAAAGCCGGTCATTACAGATAAATTCGTGTGATCTGCATGTGATGGCTCAAGACTTTTTAAAATGGCATCAGTGTAAAATTTGCCAAAAAACGCGATATATAAAGTTGTCGACGCCTCTTACCAACAGCACCATTTCAAGATGGAAAATTAAAATAACATTTTAAAAAATTAAGTTAACGCAAAAAGAAGAACAGCACACCACATTAATAAGATGCGTACATCTGCTAACAAACCTAAAAGTTTTCCAGCACAGTTAACCAGTTAATTAAAGTACTGTGCGAAACTCTTTTTTCACGGGCTATCTTTTATATTGGAATTTTCTCATTCAGCCGCGGGAGTCGACTATTATTCGCAACAATTATTCGCCGACGGCGAAGTGGATATTGTTGAATGATATTCTTTTCGCTTTCGGCGAATAATGTTTTTAGTATAATTGCTCGGCTAAGCAGATAAGCAACACTTTTCCACTAGAATTTAACAGGTTCCTTCAATTCAATTAGCAAAAACCATATCTTTCTTAAAAAAAGTGTTAGCCTAAAATTAGCAGCATCTCTTTCGCTCTTCAGAATTTTATTTTCTTCTATCCAGGGTATCACCTCGCGAGCTAAATTTTCAAAACGTGAGGCAGCCACTTTGAAATTTAGCGCCCCTGCTATGATCACCTCGCGCAAGGTGATTATAACGAGATATGATGCAATGCTCCACCAATCAAAGCGCGCGCATTTCTTTTATCACTGGAGTAATTAAATTAAATACAAATAACATGTCTAGTCTGATTGGTTCAGGTGTATTTTAAATTTCATTTAACATGGGCGTGCTTTCACCCGAAATTTTCTCTTAAAGGTAGTAACAAAGCAGTTGTTGATACGTTTATATTTATAACGTTGACGTTTGAGTTATTATTTAATGAAAATAAATTTTAACAGAATCCTTGCGATAGCAACCCATGTTATAATGGAGGTACCTGTCAAGCTGGATTTACAAATAAAGGTTTTCGTTGCATTTGCCCATCTGGACTCCAAGGAATAAAATGTAAAGGTAATATAAATGAGCGAACATAGTCATAGTCATAAAGTGGAAGTTTTAGCATCACCCATTGGGCAACCCACGGGCATTTGACTCCCCTGCCCGGGGGTAGGGGGGGGGGAGGAATTTGAACCTCGCCTGGCCGAGTTGGGAAATTTGAACCAAAAGTGTCAAGTCTTTTTCAACGGAATACGCGTTTTGAACTTAAAACATGAAGGTGTTTAAAGGCAAAAAGTTCGTTTTTGCGAGCACATGGCTCAGAAGTTCCTGGGAATGCTGGGGAGTTGTTGAACCTTCAAATCAGATCGACGCATAGATCACGATCGAGGGCGAAGGTTAAGGGACTGAGGATCAATTCAGAATAGATTCTAAGAAACCAAGGATGGGAATCACGGTCAGTGCCTGTTCATCATAATTTTATCATCACAACCCTTGGTCTCGAGACACTAAATAAGTCTTCCTTTGATAAATCAATGGGCTAACCTGAATTTTTCTTCATTTTAAGCTGAATGGCGACTTCCTCGTTGTAAAACAAATATCCTTCTATTCTTTGCGTAGAATAGCAAGTCCCCGTAAACGCAATTATGATTATTTTGCGAGGAATCACTGTGCACAGGGTGCTGCTTTTCCGCTCAAGGCGTGCGTAATGCTAACCTCTATATGAATTTTCATATATCTAAAATCTTCAAAAAAATATATGAATTTTCATATATCTAAAATCTTCATTCACTTGGATGTTTATTTGGACCCAATTCATTGACCAGCTCCCAGTTGGCTTGTTAGCTCAATTGGTAGAGCGCTGCACCGGTATCGCAGAGGTCATGGGTTCAAATCCCGTACGGGCCTGAATTTTTCAGGTCCAATTTACAACTACTCGTTTCAGTAGTGTTCTTAGCTGCGAGGATCTCTTAATTTCATCTCTCCACCGCAGTGCAAATATATGAATTTTCATATATCTAAAATCCTCTGCAGAAGATATTAAAATGTATCACATCTTTTCTTCTCATTAGCGGTGAAGTCTTGCAGCGAGCTGAGGATAATTCACCCTGAAGCAAAAAGCGGCAATTACGTCATTGATCCTGACGGTGATGGAGGACTGATGCCGTATAATGTCACCTGTAACATGACTGACAAGAACGGAGTTGGCGTGACAGTTATAAGTCACGACAGCGAAAGCAGAACACTGGTGGATGGATGTGACTCAGAGGGTTGTTACTCACGCGAGATCGTTTACACAGGAGCAAGCTTTCCTCAGCTAGCAAGCCTCACCAACGTCTCCCTGCACTGCGAACAACAGTTTAAGTTTGAGTGTTTTCATGTAAGGATGTATAAGAACAGAGACTATGCCTGGTGGGTGTCACGTGATTCCATGAACATGACTTACTGGAATGGATCTGTATTTAGCCCACGCAAATGCGCATGTGGAATGGACAACTCTTGCCAACAGCGCGCAAATAATAACAAAATAAATTACTGTAACTGTGACATGAACGATAGCACATGGCGGGAAGACACAGGTCTACTCACAAACAAATTACATTTGCCAGTTAAACAACTGAAATTTGGAGATTCAGGAACAGCAAAAAACAACGTTAATGAACACGGTTATCATACGTTGGGAAAGTTCAAGTGTTACGGAAAACACTGAAAGTAAAACCTGGTCGTTGTTTCTTAATTCTTTCCTAAAGCCTTTATTCTTAACAGTTCACAGATTCATGGAAAACAAGATTCCCATGACGAAATTCAAGTCAGTGCATTTAGGTGTTATATCCATTCAAATTTCCATTGTCTGGGTCTTTTCTCTCAAAACCTTAACCCTTTAACTCCCAGAGGTAATTGACATGAAATTTCTCCCTATAATATCCATACATTATTCAACAAACAGCTAATGAGAATATTCAAACTTATCAGGTAGAAGCTGCTATCTTGATCTAGCACCAAGTTCTTATAACTAATTTACAAGGAGATGTGTAGCAGCTAGAGAGGAGAATTAACGCAGATTATGAGAGTTAAAGGGTTAAGGCAGAGCTTCAGTTTATGACCACTTTGTACATGCAGAATTAAATTTTACGAATGGTTGGATTTACATGAAGACACAGACCACATCTAGGGACATGACCTGCCTGTAAAACTTCTCAGCTCAATGGCTTACTGAATCTTTGTTCCTTACAAGGTTCCATGAGCATGTTCTGCTTTGCCTCAGTAAAATGGTAATAAAACTCATGTCCTGTTCCTCCATGCCCACAGACCTTTCAATGGATGAGAGATATTTATATAATGCTAGAAATAATCATGAATTAGTGAAGTGCGTTTGATCTCTGGTAAGTTAATATAAACTATTGACTGAGTGGGAGGGCTGGACAAGGTCATGACGTAAGGACTGAACACAGAATTGTGCAGGGACGTACAACTCATATGATAACACTCATTATTAACGTTTCAATTCCCTGCTAGTTCATTTACTTGCATTAGGGACTATTAGATGTACACTTTAGGTGCCACTAATACCCTTTACAGATCAGAGTACTGGTAAAACCAAATTAAGTGTTATATTGTACAATCGTTAAACTTTGTTGAATATCAAAGCCATTTACAGTGATGTTAGTCAGTAAATGACACAGCCATGCTTGGAGAAAAAGAATGCCTAGTGCAGCTAATAGGGGTCCAAACCACAACCTTCTAATTGGCACTTTGGGTGCTTTGCCACTGAACTATTGGAGACTTGTAGCAGGCTGGGCTGTTTAATTAGGTCCATAATGACAAACCTCCTGCATACTGCCAGGATAGGAATTTCAATATGTAATGCTATATGGAATGATGATATAAATGAAGATGGTATCAACAGTCATGTTTGTTAAATCACTGGTTGACATGTACATGTATTAAGAGCGGATGAAGGTTGAATAAAATTTATGCCAATAATACAAAATGGTGGTTTTTATATCCAGCAAAACAATCAAAGTCAGTATTATGCATCTAAAACTTATACACGAACAGGCATATTACCACAAGTTTTATAGCATTATCATCTTGGACAATGATCAATAAACACATAGGTTTCAATTTCTGCAGGGCTCAGTCAGGCTAGCTCCGTGCAGTGGATAAACATAACACCTGTAAATCAACTTAGTGGTGAGAACTAACAGATAAGTCTAGATCTCCTCTCTTTTTCCATCTGTTTAACCTGGTTCCACATCTCAGGTGTTAAGGTGCTTTGCCCGTGACTCAGAGACATGAGCCGTGACAACAAAAGCAAGAGATGGAAGTCCTCAGCTGTCATGTTGCTCTGATTTTCTTGCCTGCTTTTCACAAAGTCATCCTGAAGAATCTTCTGCATCTCAGAGGACAAAGAATACTCTGCCAGACGTGCTACACCCAAGAATGCTCGCATGCGCTCCATGGTGACCGCTGAGATCCTGCTCAAAGCCCTCTCCACAGGTTGGGGCGATTGGTGGGGTCTGAGAGCCATGTGACAATCTGCAGGAAGCAGTGACTTTCCTTCTGACAGGATCAGTATCAGTAGATTGGTGGTGAAGTCTGCTTTGTAAAAATTGAAGTCATACTCCAGTTTCTGCCAGGAGATGACATTTCCCAGGGCTGTGACATTTTTGACACCATTTGCATTCAGTTGGCCTGCTTGCAAAGCTGTCTCATCCACAATCAAATTGGTGCTTTGGGACAACTGAAGGATGCTGCTCTTAAGACGATTTGCTGTGTAGTCTTTCTTGGGGACAAAGTTCAGTGAGTTCATGTTGTTTAAGGTCATGGACAGGAAATGACACTTAGGTACAAGGTACTCCACAAGCTTGTGCATTTCTCTCGGAAATGAGTCTGAGGATGGACACCCACTGACATTTAAAGTAAACTTTCCAACAGGCATTATTCCTGTCCAGCTGTAAACTGAGGAAATCAAATGGAGGAGCAAGTACTCTGCAGCTAGGCTATCACCACTCATGAGCTGGGTCAGCAGAGACACCAACTCACCTCTTACATCAGCAAGCTGCTGCAAAATAGGAACAGATGCCTCTCCTGTAATGCTGCTGGGGATAGATGGGTTAGAGTGGACTAGATTGCGAGATGCTAACACATGCAGCCGTGGCACTAGTGAAGGAGGTGGATGATGAACAGCTTGTTCCTCTGGAGTGATTAAGTCATCATGGGCAGGGCCTAATGGCCCTTGCTCATTACCATCTCCCATATCATCATCATTGAACACAGCAAGACAAGGATCAACTGACAACACACCAATGAACTCTACCATGTCATTTACCTTCAGAGTACTTTCTTGATCATAGACATGGACAAGGCAAGCTGGGCCATGCTCGTTCGGGAGAGGAAAATTTAGATCAGTGCTTAACTGATGGGTTGGAACATTACTACCACCTGATGTGTCACTGGGTCTTGATCTTTTAGCATCATCACTGCAGGCATCATGAGGCACTTGCCACCCTACAGGAGGAAATGAATTTAAATTAGGGTGCTATTCTAAGGGTGGTAATAATGAAAGGCATGGGGTAAGAGGTAGAGGGGCAGGGTCGGGGAAATAATATGAAGACCAATTCTGAGAGAAACAACAATCCTTTCTGAGATGCTCAAAACCAACTCTTTAAAACAACTGTAGTTTGTTTATCCTCTTTGAGATAAAACCCATATTCTATAGGAAGATTTTGCTTATTTTGAAAGAGAAGGTGAATAAAATTCAGAGCCTATTTACATGTTGCCTTTTAAATTCCAAAAGTTAGGAGGGAGGGGGGAATTTTTGCGATCTGGAACCTTCTATGCTAGCCCCTCAGGCTAGGTATTAATGGACTTGAGACATTGGAATGGGAAATACCAGGTGCAGAGAAGCAAGAAGCAAGATATGCGATGCCATGACATTTTCAAATATACCCTTTTTAATTTGTGTATATTGCTAAAAAGCAATTTTTAATCCACTGTTTTTCATTTTGATAATTGAATCTATTCAAGATCTGGTTTATTTTGGAATAGAGGCTTATGAAAAGATTGCAATTAATTTAGCTTGTCAGGTGTAAATATGAATTACTGCTATTGTAAACACAATTTTCTTTCCCATCATTTTACCTATAAATTCAGTAAAATATCCTACTGAACATAGAGGGAACTAAAAATTGATAGTTTCTTTGTTTGTGTGTTTATCGTGGTTTGAAATTAATGATTCAAAAGGGACCGCTCTTGAAGCAGTGATAAAGGCACTTACCACGCTGAACAGCTGGGGTATTTTCATCGTCCATGTCTTCCTCGAGATCTCTTTTGAGCACTGTGTTCTTCCGCTCAGAGGCTTGTGCTTCGGAGTTTGAAGCTTCTCTTCTCCCTGCAAATGCTTTTCTCGCCCAGTCAGTCTCTCCTGGTATCGGTACGCAGTAAAATATATGCCTCTCTTTGGTTACGTTCTTCGGTGACTCTAGGCGAAGTTCAAAATTTTCAGGACATCTGACGACATCTTGGTACATTCCACACCGCAATTTCGATGAGTTGTCCACCTTGCTCACGGTTTCATACACGGCCAGGTAGAACTCAGGATCGAACATGTCCTGCACCATGCATCGGAATCTAACTAAATTCTTTGATTTCAAAAGATGACTTGGAATGTCATTCAAAGAAGGAACTCGTAGGAGAGCTTCGCTCTTCTGCAATCGACTCGAGAAAAACTCGCCGACTTTTTCATGATCTGGGCTTCCTGATTCATTGAATATTCCTTCAATAACACTGAGGGGGTCAGTGAGCCAGTCCTCTATGCAAGGCATCGCTAAATGTTCTCCTTGTTTGTATAAATAAACACTTTGCTCGCTGAAACGAAATTTTTTGGCAAGACCCTCGTGGTAGTTTTCCCGGGAAAATTTAGAATTATGCGCGCATGATATTTTGCTGACACCTTGTTGGCTGTATGTGTATGCAGGCTCAAGCATAAATTATTTTTGCTGCGTCTCCGCCATCTTGGTGTAACGATTTGGATCGTGAAAATGTTGGCTGACACGATCCTTATTCTCTTCATTTCAGTAGCTACTGCACTTCTCTCTGAAGGTAAGTTTGTTTCGAAATCAGTTACGATGGCCCAAAACCGTGCCGTGAGATGTGGTTCGATTCAACCGAGTGAATGGCACATCAAGCGAGATTCTTGAACTTGACTGAATTTCTTTCAAGTCCGCTGCCGGTTGCAGGGGTTATCACGATCTTGATATTGCAATTGCGAGGATTCCTCATGCGGAGAGTTATGGTTATATCTTACTGTTACCTGTACATAGTAACTGTTTGATTATCAATGTGGGGATCTTTAATTTTTATTCACCCACTAACTCCCAAGATCAAATTGATAATTCTCCCCTCAAGCTGCTACACATTTCCTTGTAAAGTAGTGATGAGAATTAGGTGTTAAATCAAGATAACAACTTCTACCTGATAAGTTTGAATATTCTCATTACCTGTTTGCTGGATATTGTGAGGATATTATAGTGAGAAGTTTCATGTTGATGACTTCTGGGAGTTAAAGGGTTAACTCCTGCTTGAAACATCAATAAATTGTCTGCTATCAATTTCATACTGTTTCAAGCCTTGGTGTTAAAAAAATGAGGGAAAAATTGCCAGACTGAGTGAAAAAAAGGAGAAGAAATCCTTTCCTACCATAGAATTAAAACGTCCCAGTTCTGCATTTGTAATATACATTTTGTGGCTTAATTTATCATTATGTTGTAAATGATCTTGCAACAAACAATCACACTGTTTCCATGTACAATATTAGTTCTTCTAACTTAACTAGCAGCTTCAGACCACAATCAACAACCCTAAATCACCTTTCATATTTCTGTACTGTCACAAACCTATTAACAAGCTCATCGTAATGCTTCAGTCACCACAATAAGTCCAAGTGTAAATTTCTTTCTTTTTTTTCAATTCAATAAATATGCCACATATGGGGTATAAAAATTAGACAAAGAGTTACCAATGTTTATGGGGTTCAAAATTAAATCATGTTTTATGGCACATGTTCATTGGAGGTGATACCTCATATGCTGACCAAAGATATGCAGGACTTCATAAGAATACATTTCTTTTATATTTAGTTTCTTGTGCAGTAGGGTTATGGTATCACTGTCGTAGGAAATATTTTATTGTATTTGGCCATAAATCTGTTTTGTATATTTAATAATACTTATCAAGGGAGCAAAAAAAGAGATTGTAGCAACCTTACTTTTATTTTCTCTTTTATAGGAATCACATATCTATTGGTTTACAGAACAGACAAATATAAGAAGTTAACTGCAGAAGTCGAAAAAGATAGTAAAAAGTGTGAGTATCTTTGTTATTGTAGAGTATTCAACTACCTTTTATTCAGTGATCAAGAATCATGGACTACCATACAATGCTTGTAATTAGATATTTTACTTTTACTTAGGAGAGATTTACAATATGATCAAGTAAAAAGAAGTGTCCTGACTGTGGTAATGCTATGTAATGCTTGGTAAACCAATGCACTGCAGTTATATAACGAGAAGAATGTTTACATATTTTACATAAAAGTTATAAGTCATCAAGTGAATCAGCTCTCTTCGATCAAAGCTGTAATATTACAATCTTTCCATAATGATCATAGACATATATTTCATGCTTTTATTTCAGTCAAATTGTTGTACTGTGTCAACTCTAGAGAACATTGACTGAATTTTATTAAAGTACCTAGAAGCTTTGTATTGATGGTATTTACTTCTGTTTCTTAGTGGAGAAGAGAAAAGAAAATATCTTAGATCTTCCCAGACAAGGGGGAGGTCAGAAGAAGAAAATGGGTAAGCATACCAGGAATGATAATTGGTTTTTTCTTTTTGATGTAGTTACTGGATGATATTACTACAACTGCTTTACATGGAATCCTGATGAAGTGTGTTTTACAATTGTTTGGGTTTGTGTCTTTTCTCAGAAAGAGTTGAGGAGAAGCTTAAGAATCACAACAGAGACCTTTCAATGGTGAGAGACTTCTTTATTTCATATATAATCAATATAATTATTCACTTTTGTGTGCAAGAATTACATGATTTTACCACATCTTGTTTAGGTTGACTCAGTTCTGATCAATAATGGCTGTTTGGCACATGATTCCATGGAAATTATTAACAAGAATCATTGGTTACAACTGAGTTTAAAACATTTGTAAAAAATTAACTTAAAATTCCTTTACTTTGTTTGCCTGGATTCTTTAAATTTATGCAATCCAAGCTTCAAGAACATTGTTACTGTATATCTACAGTATCTCTCATGAAATTCCTCTGTGAGATGAATACCCCCTCCTCTTGCATAGCTTTCCTGTAGTTTGATTTGACTTGACGTCTTGTGTGTTAAATGGTGATATATGTAATTCTTTTGAAGGTGAAAATGAAGTCCATCTTTGCCATTGGATTTACATTTACAGCTCTTATTGGCATGTTTAATTCTATGTAAGTGTGTGACCCTAAAACATTCAGTGATGGTTTTTACAACTGCAACTGTACAGAATATATAATTTGTGGATTAATTTTTAGCAATGACATTTCCATATACAGATTATTTACATTTATTACCTTAAATTCAAGTTAGAGAGGGCTGCCTTATATTTGTCACATTGTGTTGTCCTATTTTTCAGATTTGATGGCAGAGTTGTTGCAAAGCTTCCTTTTGTTCCCCACTCTTGGCTTCAAGGCTTGTCCCATCGCAACTTAATGGGCACAGATTTTACTGACTGCTCCTTTATCTTCCTGTATATTCTTTGTACTATGTCTGTAAGACAGGTTTGTGCAAGTTTTTTTCCTAGCTAGGTATTTAGCAACATTCATAGATACAGTGTAGACAACACTGTACTTTCTAATGTTAAGGCCCTTTGGTTGCGAGCAACTTATCAATCACAGAACCTATTGATCAGTTGATGAATCAGTCAGGCAGACAGTTGATTAATTAAACAATCAAACAACCAGTTAATCATCAATTGATCATTCAATTATCCTTCTGCAGAATTGTACTGATTAATTGTCAAAAACTTATTTTCATGTATATAGATGGGCCCCTCTACCTGCATTCTCTCAGTAACTTGATGTTACCTTTGCTGAACCTAATTAAGATCATTGATTTTCTCTTCTCAGAATATTCAAAAAATGCTGGGCTTTGCTCCATCTAGAGCTGCAAGCAAGGTTGGTGGTCTGCTGACACCACCACAGGGTACCAAGTAAACTTCACAGGAGTTTTGGCCACAGAGTACCCATTTGCCTTGGAATTGTGTACAGTACAACTTGTTTGGACCATTTATTGACCTACAGAAACAGTCTTCCTAAGCATGTCTGTCCCCAGGTGTTACAATGCAAGTGAACTTTTAGGAAAGCCCCATATTGTCGTAAATGTACATGTAACTATCAGTACATTTATCGCAGTCAAAAATTAAATTTTTTATGTTACTCGGAGATTTCCATTTTTCCTTCGTCTTTTCTTTCCATGTATGTTTTTTTTCCAAGGTGTTTGTTTTTTGCCATTAGAGTTTGGTTGTCGTTAAATACCTTGGAAAATTCGTAAAGAACTGATTTGGTTGGGGTAGAGCCGGGATAACCAACTGGTTCTATTGAAACAGTCCAAGGAAAACGTAGTATGGAGGTATTGGTTGTCCCGAATATTCCAAAGCGATGAAATATACCAAAAGCTTGATTTTTTAAAAATATTTTTTGCCAGTCCATAAAGGGAATGAAGCACTGCCTTTTGCGCAAATGGCACTTTATAAAACATGACTCCATTTAACACGTGTGCAAAATTATACTTGCTACGCTCCGCCATCTGTTTTTCAGTTAAATCATTCCAAACCGAAGTAAACCCATCACGCCATGGGAAGAATAAAAAAAATGGAGATATACAACCTCACTTTACTTTAGTGAGAAATAAATTGAGTAATAACAATTTAAAAAATTTAGACATACTCTTTTGAAATGGGTTTTGTCTTCGTGATGAGAAGACTAGATCTTTATGACTTAATATTCTCTTGATCTCTACTTAAAACTTTAATGGCTTTTCTTGGAAATCAGTTAACTAACAAAGGATTAAGCTTTTGGTCAATTTGGCAGTTATTATTCGTGCACCTTTTTTATGACTTCGAGGAAGCAAAACCCCTAAAGGAAATCATGAAAAGCCGGTTGAGGAAGAGTCATCGCGACCAGGTAGCTGAAGACATGCGCGCATCCACCCATTCATGGTACAGGCTCAATGGAGAAAACGTCAATTCGTATCTGTTTACTTCGTTTATTGCAAAAGGTTTTCATAGAGAGGAACAACTACTTTTTCAATTGATTATCAGATAGGTGGATATGATAGACACATTCAGTGACTATTTTGTTAGTAAAAAACTTGTGTTCCTTCACATTGGTTTAGCTTTAGGCAGAGTTAAAGTGAGATTTTTTTTTAAAATCAATCGAGGCTGAATTGAGGTCATGTTTCTCGTTTTTTTTTTATTTCGGCGTAAACAAAACACGATTATAAATTGCTAAGCAGCCAGCTTTTCTGAGAAATTTAAAGATCAAAGAGTTAACGGGGAAAGATTCTTTAACGAGATTCAAAATGAATGCTATTAATCATACCAATAGTCCCTGACACGGTAAGAAACAGGATAAGTAAAGGAAAATGACGTTTGGCAATAGCTAACGGATATTTTAGAAACATATTTTTTATCAAATGATCTTTTACAAATTCCTTTTGACGGCGGGAATTGCTTTCCCACGTACAAACAATACATTATTACGGGGGCCTGAGTTCATTGACGTCACAAAAGAGGGCACCCCTACCCATGCATAATATGTTGAACAAATAACTTTCTTTGTTAAAATTTTCTCTTGCGGTCAATTATGGAATGCGGCGGAAGAGGCCCGTAGACATGTTAACGATATAAACATTCTTCGTTCAATTTGTTCTCAGTCTGCGGCAAATTAGATTTCATCTGCCTCACGCGTGAGGCTTGGGAGGTTGATTTTTTTTAGGGATATAAAGATGTCCACATTTAATGCCTCACCCGAGGTGATTTTGTCCAAAAACGGTGCCAAATACCTACTTAAAAGAAACGCTAGTGAGAAAGAATTGTTTAAGAAGCAGACGTGGCTGCTAGACAAAGCTAAATCAAAAGAAGAGAGGGCCTTTTGCCGTGAGAGGGAGCGACTTTTACAACGTCGACTCTCGAGATTTCAAGGAGTTGGTGAAAGGGTCAAAAGGATTACTGAAGACGAGTCTGATAAATGGGAAGTACAAAGTGATACACCATGTTATATCAAACATCGGAGAAAACAAGGTATTTTCTTGGACAGCTCGCCATTATGGTCCTCTCAAGATTCTGTGTGCCCATCGTCTGGGGCCTCCATGAGTCAAAGAGGCCCTGGAGTCCATAACTGTGATGAGTTTCTTAGTAGCCCCAGCGTGGTTAGGAAGTTCAAAAGAGCCATTTCAGAACAGTACAGCTCGACAAGCTCACGGACAAGCTCGCCGCGATCGACAAGTTGTGTTCTTCCCCCAATTTCACTTCAGTGTCCGATTTCTGGTAACGAGGGAGAAAGAAAACTCATACATGCACGATCAAAAGCAAAGTACAAGGAAGCGAGTTTCATTTGATGGGCCTTGATTCAATGACGGGTAAACATCAGTCACCTTCTCGGTGATAAATGAAAAACTATACCTTAAAGTGGCTAAAATGCCTCAAATTTAGAGTCAAAGGAAAGAACGTGTGTCTTTGAGGAACGTACGAATACTGATATAATATTCAAGTGTTATACATACAATTTCCATATCACAAATTACTCATTACAATGTCTCATGGTTTTTTTATCATTACCCTTTTAGACCTATAAGTATAAGTTAAGGAATTATTTTATTTGAAGCCCACTAACACTTACACAAACAGCGAGTTATCAATTGATGAGACTTTAAAATTTTATAATAAAGGACATTTATGGATAGAGCGAAAACTAATTTGATATGTTTCATCTAGGGTGATTTAAAGTGGTCTTGTTGAATGTTATTCAAAAATGAATCGAGAAACCATCATTTACTGTCAAATCTGACAGGTAATTGAATCAAATCCAGTGCCCGGATGTCAAATAGTCTAACTTTTCATAACAGATACAACGATTTTTAATATCGGCTGAGTTCTGATGAAATCTATAGTTATCTCGAAAAGCTTGAATAAATATGAACAAAGCGCGTGAAAGGGTTCAGGCGAAGAACACCACCGAACACCACCGAAACCCTGCCGGCTAAATACCGATGTTAATTGCTGGGCGAGGTTGCCGGTTGGACAATCATGAGGTACTTAGTACGCAGGAAATTTCTCGGAAACTTCGGACGCCTCCTGATTAGAAAGAGATGCATCTCAAAATGGTTAAATTTCTTAGTCGTCAGTACCCTTAAACACGTAAATGCTTGTCTCACCTTTTCGTCGGTTTTATTTCAGTAGGAAAGAAATGAAATAGCAACCCTTGCGTGTTTTTTTTGCTTGAATAATATTATCCTTTTGCGAGAGCTCCAGAATACGCTTACGTCATGTTATGTGTTCTCTCGAATAGTGGCATGCAAGAGAATGTGTTGGATTGGCAAAAATGGCACGATTGCGGTCTGCAATTCGACGGTTTTATGTTAAAAATCTATTTAGCTAGTTAAAGGTCTCTGTTCGCAGAATCAGAACGTCAATGTTTGGTTACATCCAATTTTTACCAAGACTTATGATCACAGTGTTTGGATCATGTTCCGATGAAGCACCAATTACACTCCATGGCCACTGGCCACATCAATTTATTGGTCTTCATTAATAAAAAAATAAAGAGTCCGGTTTATAGAAAACGAGAAAAGATTCAGGAAGCAAAAGCAACTCTTTTTATTTCTCTTGGGCTATAGTTAGTTTCACTCAAACTTCAAGCTGACCCTCCGAAATAAGCGAAAAATTTCTTCGAAACCTGACGGACGTGTTCGAAATGGAAAACCGTCCATGATGAGAACTGACAGATGATAGTCGTTCAGAATCAAGGACAGAATTTTCCGCAATCAAACAAAATTTACCAATTAAAAATTGAACGGCACCGTCCAAACCAAAATCCGATGGAAGCATCCGAAGTCTGCTAGCTCAATGAATAGACAACTCAAAGCTTGTTTTTACCGCGCTATGTTCCCGGGTGGTGCCTTTCTTGCTAACTTTTTTAAAAATATCTTGTTCTCGTCAGTTTCTTTGTACAGAAAAGAAATTTTTACGTCATGAATAATAAGACCCCAGTTTTACATTTCTTTTACCTTTGCTTAAACTTCACAAAAAGGAGAAAAATAAAGATTTTCTAAATTAATTCTCAGCCTGGGTGTGTTCTTAGTATTTTCTCAAAATTTTGGTTTATCTCAACCAGAACAATGGAATTTTTATTAGGAAAGGTTCTTATCGAAGGAGGGTGTGCGGCGTCTTTTTTTGGTCTTTACGGAGACATGGTCTTTATCGTTGAATCTAGCTCGGTATAGGACATAAACTTTGTTTTGCATGGTTTCTATTGTACCCATGATTACAGTCAAAAATCCTTTAAATGTTATTAAACACAAACGTATTGGTCCATTTCGATAAATTTTAGATTTGTTACACGAAAGTTTACTGATTATTGCATGTATTGAAGTCTCAAGCTTCTATAAAACTCCTTTTGTTTGATCGTTTGTTGTTGTAGTTGTTGTTGTGTTTGGCTTCCACATTCAGAATCAAGGTAATTCAGTAATGATCAATGGATTTGTCCCAGGTTGTGTTTGGTTTGTCACATTTTATATTAATAAATTTTAATTTCAATCGTACGTTCAGACACCATCTATCACGCTAAATTGAATAAAAGTACTCCTAAATCGATATGTGACATTCTCATAATTAAGCCTCGGAAAAATGACAGTTTTTCTCTGCCAAGGTTAGTATAAATTTTCTTTTTCCTTTGTGTGTATTATTCGTGACGATTCGTCCTACGAAGTTCGATTCAGTGCTCACCGATATTACCACACGGTTTTACAAGGGATTTAGTGCCCCGGAATAGTCGCAGTCCAAATCAAATTCAAGACAATATTAAGTATGGGAATAGTTTTTCATATAAATAGTTGAAGATAAATTCCATTTCATTGGTATACATGTATATGCATGCACCTCTGTAGCTGCAAGATAAAGTTTGGCTACTCATGAGATCAGTCATGGAAACCAGTGATTAAACTTATATTATTCCACAGACATTTTCCGGTAGAAATTGCCGGTTCAAGATTAACATTCGTTGTGAAATGAAAACGTATTGTTAGGTAAGCAGATTAAAGCTGCTTATAATGTTACAGGTAAGGCCCGCTCAGCAAGATACACTACTTTATGGATCTGGGACAGTTCGTTCCATGTAAGTGTTTTGATCCTCATTCATGATGCGTCCGCTGGCCCTATGAATCGTGCGCATGGACGCCGTACAGTTTATCTATTGCATCAAGACTTGGCGCGGCTGCATGACAAGCGGGAAATTGAAGCGTTCCACTAGTGCGTAGAAAGTGTCAGTTATGGTTCGAAATGCGGTTGAAAAATCACATAGTGACAAAAGGAAAGGGAAAAGCCCCCAGAAGCGCAGTTTCTCAACAGCTGAAGTGATATACAGTAATGCTAAAAGATCAGCTCCTGTT